AGTTTGGTCCTTAAGGGGTTAAGGGGTTATACTTACAAATAGCAATCTTACAGACCAATCCTAATGTGACAAAGTGCCCTTCACCACTTGGTCCTGGAGAGGCCTGCTTGCCAGCCTCTTCCCCTGTGACTATGACTCTTTGATGTATTTGGCTTTAAAGCCCCTATTCTACCTTCAGACAGACTATTTATGTAGGCTGCTTTATTTCTCTTATGTTTTAGTCACCCTGTCTCCATTATAGGTGTAATGTTTGTGTAATGTAATTGTTTATAGTGTGTGTGTGTACTGGGAAATGTATTGCCTGCTCTCCTGAACTGCTGAGGTTTGCTACCAACTAGGTGGATTTGGCTATGGAGCTTGTCTAGTGCCCTCTGTTGGTAGCAACAGCAAAATGCACTACCTGAATAGCAAGACTGGTTCATTTGCATATTCGGGTAGATTTGCATATTGCTAATTCTGCAGGCACGTGAGATATTTTCTGTTAAATATTGTCTCCCCCACCCCTTTAAAAATATGCCATTGTGTTATAATACGTCACTGTATGTTGCCTGCTAGAATTTGACTGTTTGTAATTTTATTGAGTTTTCACAGAATTGTTAATGAGTGACCATATGGGCTCGTCCCAAGTAAAATAAAGGTTTAGACAGATCTTCTTGACCCTCAATATGTAGCCTTGTCTAGTTATTGGAGGGAACTGCTATATCATACTGGGGATTGCTATGCTCTGCATACTCCCTTGAGCTTTTAATCACTTAGCTCTTTTAAGAGCTGCTCATGTTACGCTCTCCTTGGAGTAGAGGTCTACTCCACATGGTCCTGGATGACAGAAGCTGATCCAGGGTGGATGGAAGGCGGCGAGGCTCCAGCTAAGCTACAGCGGTTGTGGAGTTTGCAGTGGTTGTGGTGTCCGGTGTGGTGCTTATGGTCCTTGGCGGAAGCTAGGAAGCATCAGGGGTAGACTGACCGGTCGGGCACTTCGTACATAGTCTGAGGGCCCGGGAGGGGGGGCCGCCATCAGGGGGCCCAGTGGCAGGGCTGGTTTGGGGGCGGCATTTGGGGACTACAAAAGGTGTCTGGCCGCGTTTCATGCTGGAGCCGGCAGCAGTCCTCTCACTAATGCTGAGGACGGAGGGAGGAGGAGCATGTCTCGCCGGCTCCAGCATGAAATGCGGCCGGCCCCCTGTGTCTCAAGTCAGAGAGATGGGGAGGGGGGAGAAAGAGGGGGAATAGAGAGATGGGGAGGGGGGAGAAAGAGAGGGAAGAATAAGACAGAGGGGGAATAGAGAGATGGAGAGGGAAGAATGAGACACAGGGGGAGAAAGAGGGGAATAGAGAGATGGGGAGGGGAGAAAGAGAGGGAATAGAGAGATGGGGTGGGGGGAGAAAGAGACACAGGGGGAGAAAGAGGGGGAATAGAGAGTTGGGGGAGGGAGGATAAAGAGAGGGAAGAATGAGACACAGGGGGAGAAAGATGGGGAGGGTGGAGAAAGAGACAGAGAGGAAGAGAGATGTAGGGGAGAGAGAGACACAGAAAGGGGAAGAAAGAAACAGTGGAAGAGAGAGAGACAGGGAGAAAGGAGAGAGACACACAAGGGGAGGGGGAGAAAGAGACAGAGGGGTAAGAGAGACTGGGAAGGAGAGGGGAGACATAGACACAGGAGCAGTGAGGGAGAGAAAGAAACATACAGAGGGACGGGGGCAGACAAAAAGGCACACAGAAGGGCTGTACATATCACTGGTGGATCCAGGGGGGCAATTGTCCCCCCTGCCACAGGCACCGTGCGGGCAGCCGGCAGGGGAGGGAGGAAAAGAGGACCTGGGAGCTCAGCCTGCAGCTCCTCTGGGTCCTTCTTGCGCGAGCACAGAGCATTGCCGCGGTTACCATGGCAACGTTACCGCTCTTGCGAGAGTCAACTCTAGCCCTGGAGCTACGGGCTAGAGTTCACTCTCAACACTGTGACCACCAGGGATTCCTGGTGGTCGCAGTGGTGAGAGTGAACTCTAGCCCCATAAACACACTACCCCCAAACACACACCATACACATTCACACACTGCCCCCACACACACACCATACACATTCACACACTGCCCCCACATACACCATACACATTTACACACATTGCCTCACACACACACATACACTGCCCACCCATATACACACAGACCCCCATACTAACATTGCCACACACATACACAGCCCCCTCATACACACATTGCCCCGCACACCCTACACATTCACACACTACACACACACACTGCACCCCTCACACATTGCACCACTGCTCCTATACACTACTACAGCCCCATATCCCAGCAGACCCAGGTAAGTTGTCAAATTGTTCTTAAACGGTTTGACTACTTACTCTGGGAGGGGGGCCCGGCCCTCCTGGCACCATAACCACTACACAGAGCAGTAGTGGTTATTGTGCATGGATTATTTATTTAAATAATCTACAAGTGCCCCAGTAGCCAGCCAGCCCACAAGCCAGCCAGCCAACCTACAGGTAGCCCACAAGTCACCAGTTAGCCAGCCCACAGGTCAGCCAGGCCAGTAGCCAGCCCACAGGCCTACAGCAAGCCACAGGCTTACAGCCAACAATCCCACAGCCTGCCAGCCGTAAGACTGCCAGCCAGCAACAGTAATTAAAGTAAGAGGAGCCAACTTGGCCTAGGTATCAGAGAGCTATGTTGTGTTGCTGTATTGCGAATAGGAACCAGAGTGTTGGAGAGACCCCCCTCCAGGCCCCATTAGACTCCATTGTAGTCTCTAATGGGGCATGGAGGGGATTATTTCTAATACACTCTCTAAAGCACACTGAGATAGCCTCTGCTAGAAAGACCATGGTCCGTGGCCCATTAGCGCTCAATTGTAGTCTCTACTGGGGTCTCGAAGGGATTATTGCACTTTTGTTCCTTGTGTCTAAAGATTGTGTAGGGTGTGGATGGAGGCGGGACAAGGCTGGCGCTTGCTGTGGAGTATGGGTAAGGAGGCCCTTGATTTATTTTGCCCAGGGGCCCTGAGGGTACTCAGTCCGCCCCTGGGAAGCGTCCATCAACGGAGGGTACTCGGTTGGAGTACGGTGAGCTCTGTTACACCTAATTTCCCTTTTTCCCTTCAATGCTTATAAACAGTGCATGAATGTCATGAATGATACTTAATATATCTGTAAATTATTATTCTTATGTATCCAATTTTTTAAGTATAGTGAAATGACTCTATCAATTCGACTCTAATCAAACAATAGTGCCCTACTAAGCGTGCAGTAAAAAATCAATAGTATCAAAGGTGATTCAATAATATCGTGATTCAATTATCTTATTATTTGTTATATGATTATTAAGCAAACATTACCTCATTTGACCTTTATGTGTTAAAAGATTCCTAAATTAAGTGTCTATGTATTAGTATTTTCTAAATCAAATTAAGATTAATAAAAATAGGTGAATATCGGTCCATCTTTCTACAAGCACTGACTCTATTACTTTTCTGAACAGAAAAAAAAAAGGAATACATATCTATATTCCTAAAGCTACAACAATTATGCCCCATGTAAAACAATAAAAAAAAAAATTCAATGAAAAAGTTGGAAGCACACAAGTATCTAAAATGTCATTACATCGTGTAGCATTAAGTGGACCCTTAATAGGAACTAAGCAGTATAGCCCAGACCCTGAAAACACCCTAGACCAGGGATGAAGGGATAATGATCTAGGGCAGGGGTAGAGAAACCAGCTTTACAGCTGGTAAAGAATCAGGGGAGATGTAGTTCACAAGATCTGGAGTGCTGAAAGTTGTCTACCCTTCCCTAGACCATTATCTTTTCACCACCAAACATTCCAGCAGGGCCGGCGCTCCCTATAGGCAAACTAGGCGGCCGCCCAGGGCGCTGCTTAAGGGTGGGCGCTGGCCCTGACAAGAAAGATTATTTTGGGAAGCACTTACATTGTTGCTCACTAGCGCTTAGTAGAACACAGGTCCGGTAGCATAGAGATCAGCCCAGCCAGCCTCCCACCCCACCCCCCCCGACATGCATTGTGGAAGCGCGCGGGCGCTTCAATTACTCGCTCCCGCCCCTTCCCCTGTACGTGGGGAGAAGTGGGCGGCAGCATAATGTGCAGACAAAGGAGGAAATGAGCAGAGAAAAGGCAAATAGGCTCAGGGAATGAACAGCAATGAAGGTAAGGTATGTCAGAGAATGTGTGTTAGTCTGCTTCAGTCAGTATGTTTATGTATATCAGTGTGTCTGTCTGTATGGGTCAGTGTCAGTCGATATGGGTCAGTGTGTCTGCATGGGTCAGTGTATCTGTCGGCATGGGTCAGTGTGTGTGTCTGTATGGGTCAGTGTTTGTCTGTATGTTTAATGGTGTGTGTCTGTATGGGTCATTGTGTGTGTGTGACACCATAAAACACATTTATACTAGTCCAGTGTGCAGTAACCACATGCTTTACACCACTCCAGCATGTAATTTTGCATGTTGATATGAGGCTTCTGTACAACAGCTTGCCCAGTTATTTTGCCAATGTTGCTTCCAGATGCAGTTTGAGATTAAATAGTGAGTGACACACTGTTTTTGCATGCTTCACACTCACTACCCCCCCAACTCTGTGAGTTTGTGTGGTCTACACCTACCATTTTTAGCAGGGGTGTTGTGTCTAGGTGCATCTACTTGACAATAATATCACTTTGGACATATTTACTAGAACAGTCCAACTTGAGGCAACGGTGGTATGCTATGACAGTGACACATTAAAAGTCACTGTACCCTTCAGTGAACTGCCAATATTTGTCTATTTACTTTATTATTATTATTATTTATTAATCCAATAGACAATCCTGTATTGATAAAAAAAAATGGCATAATAGTGTGACCTTTTTATTGGATTAAAGTTTCAGTAACATTTAGAGAGTAGTGACATAAACTCTTGCGTGTGTGATATAAACAAAATGCTCTCTATATGACCTCCTATCATCTTTTAGTTATATAAGATTGTCCACACGTCTCAATGAGAATAATGCTGACAGCGTGGAATTCCTGGATTACAGAGTATTAACTCAGGATTTAATAAAGCTAGTGTTAGCATCCTCACAGGAGTATAGGGGAGAGAGAGGAGCTAGGGGAAGAGAGAGAAAAAAGGCACACAGGAGCCGAGAACTGAACAAAGAGCCTGAGAATTAGAAGAAAAAAGTTCAAGAGAATCTTTGATTTGGAAAAGGAAGAATACAAACTGAGCTTTGGAAATTGTAACTGAAGAAGAAGAAGGACAATCATTTGAAAGGAGCAAACACATAACAAGTAATAAAACAACCATTGCACTGTAAAGCTAGCTTTGTGTGTATGGGTTAAAACAGTGGTAGACTGTAGGTAGAACCTTATTTCTGTTTTGTTTCGTTCTTGCAACGTTTTGTATTGTGTGGTGGAATCGTACGATAAAATTATTTATGGAGACCACCGTGATAAATGGACCATCTCAAGGTGTAGTAGGAAACTTGATTTTAAAAAAATGCATTTTTCCTATTGTCTCTGGATTAAAGGGAATGCTAGATCACTTTAATATATTCCCATTTATTTAGAGTGGATCTATATATATTATTTATTCTATATGCCTCTTTGTTTCACTTAGGGGTCCATCATGTTCCTGGCAGGCCTCTTTGGCTGGAATGACGCAAGTGGGTCTGTCATGAAATTGGCACCAAGAGGCAGTGCAGAACTAGTCACAGAGACCCTGATGTTGGAACTGAACTCACACCTAAAACGCTCAGAAAGGCACCAGCGAGAGCGTCTCATTGAGTACAGACGGGTGAAAAATGGGGTGGACTACACATGGCTGGCATCTATCCCACGTCAGGCCTATGAAATAAGTCCAGGGGACCAACTGGAACTCAGGGATATTTGCTCTAAAATCAATCCATCGCAGTGTGGACCTGCTATACTAAGGTACTAAAATATTTTACTAGTGTTTTGATATACCTGCAAAGAATTATCCACTGGTAACCCTGCGAAAAAATACACACAATGTAGTAATACAGTAATTCCTGTAGGTGTCAGGAATGTGTAAATACAGAAGATTGTTTTAATAGATAAGGAAATCTGGATTTTAAACACAGTGATCAGTTTAATAGTGTCATAGTTTGATAAGCAATGCACAATCTCTGCAATGGCTCTATTATCTCACTTGGTATCCAACATCGTCACCTTTATATATTGCTCTTTCCATATTAATATATCTCCTTTAAATATGTATATATATATATAAAAACTTTTTCAATAGTGATGACTGCACTCCTCTGTCTTCTTGTAAAACCAAAATTACTTTATTAGATATACATTAAAAAAGATCGACGTTTTAGCCCCACTCTGGGCTTTCTTCAGGATCAAAAGTTACATACATTAGACTAATACATACTGAACTGACTTATATACTATAAGAGAAACAATCACCTTTATATATTGTTCTTTCCATATTAATATATCTCCTTTAAATATGTATATTTCATATATAACATTTTTAAGAGTGATGACTCAGGAGAAAAATAGTTGTTAAGGATCCTCATAATTAGGACATCTATAAAAGCATAAAGATTATAGAGACAATTCAATGCCAAGATGTATCCGAAATACAGAAGGTTTGTTTTATCATACAAACACTGTACCCACAGATTGATATCCCACTAGAGATGGGTAAATATTTAATTATGTTCAACAATAGTGAAAGTGTTGACCACTTAATAAATAAAGTGGGCTAATGCATCATCAGTAGAGTCTGTTCAACCGTTGGGGGTCGCAGGTTCAAATCCCAGCAGGGTTCATTCAGCCCTTCATCATTCTGACTTAGTTTAAATGAGTACCATTAAATTGGATAATAGTAACAACCCCTGGATGTTGGGCAAAAGTAACATCCCCAGGATGTACTTGGAAACCAAAGTCATCTGGTTATCTGGTTAAATACTTTGTTATTATTATTATTATTATTTGGATGCTTATCAAACATTTTAACATTTATATTATGTTTATTTAAGTGGATGCAACAGTAGTCAATAACAGGTAAATTTAATCAGAATTATTCACCAAACTAGGACTTGCTATGACCCATCAAAGGAGTTACAAATTTCATGCCAAAATAGCCCACTTAATTTGAAAAAAAAGTTCTTGAACACAGCTCTTTTTGCTTGTTGGCTATTTTTACCTGAATGTTGAAATTCTCTGGTCAGTGCACAAAATTCTTGGTTTATAGAATAACTCTGCAGCTAAGTCTCTGTGCAAAAAAACATTATTGCCATTATATGTTCTTCTTTATCAACGTAAGCCTATGCACCAAATATAACATTGCAATTGTGCAAATAAAAAAAAAAAAGGATTTATGGTCAGTACTTGAGGGTCCTGATAATCTTCTAAAGGGAGATCCTCACCTTACAAGTATATTAAAATAGTAAAAATTATTAAAGTACACCCATCCTTCCTAAATGCGTACGGTAATGAGAAAGTCATCTTGCCTTGAATTGCATGACTGTTCGTTCCAATATTTCGATTTCACTCTTTTGATTAAAAGTAAGGTGGCTAGCTGGAATCAGAAGGATGATTGTGTAGAAAGTTGACCTCAGAACACATTCATTTATATTTTTGTTGCATTTGTGAGAAACATTATAGGATATTTTTCCATGATAAAAATGTCCTATAATTTCTAGCAAAATTATAATTTACCCTAAGCAACGGCACCATTTGCAAAAGAAACAGAATTTAATGCGATAAATAAAATAAAGGTAACAGACGCAATGTAAACTAGATTTTTCCCCATTGCAGGTTTCGCCGTCTAATGTTAGAGTTTGAGCCCGAGGGTGCTGAGATCCCACGTCTCTTCCGATCAGTACTACAGGACTTTGTGTCTAAGGAGGAGGAGGAGCAGAGGAAAAAAATGTTGGAAGGTCCATGGGAGAAACGAAGAAGAGCCAAGAGTCTGGCAACAGTCCACTACAACCCTCCTCGCCTGCGTGTCAACCCATTCCAGCTGGAAGATGCTCCTGGCTCCGATACAGAGAGCGAGCTAGCTGCTTCTGGGAGAGCAAGGAGCAAAAGTATGCCAGAGTTCAGTACCACAAGGGAGGTCCATTAAGAAGTCCTGCATGTACAATTCTCTATGGACACATCTCCAGCACAGAAATGTTTTTTTGTGTATGTGTAAACTATGTGTACAAGGCGTGAGCTCAGTATTCATATATTCACAAGATAAACCAAAGCGAAAAGTTATCTGTATGGCTCCCAAACGGCAGTAAATTAGTGAAGCAGTGACTTCTCAAGGTCCCCTAGAAACAAAATAGCTGCTACCAGTAAAATTGTAGGCTTTTACCATGGTGCCTTGTTTGCAGGAGAAGAATGAAGAAGCCTATTGAACGTAAACCTGTATTCCGGCCAATTCCTATTTAGCTTTGGTACCCATCCGATAATGCAAGTATTTTAGGTATAGAACAAAGAACGGTGGTCTTTTTATTGACAGCTACTTAGATTGTACCACTAAAATAGATAAATAAATGAAGAGCCTCTTCAGTCCTAATCCCACTATTCTGCAACCAGCAAGAGCTGTTAGCTGCTGTTACTGAAAAAAAAATGAAATGGCATGTCCTGACTGGCATGACACCTTTAACAATGTTGTGTGTTAGAAGGAGAAGAGCTTACTCCATGTATTTTTTTAAAATTTTTTTTAAAAACCACCTTTGGGCTGTAGTCGTGTTCCTAAAAGGCACTTCTCATAGATAAACAAATGCACTTAAACGTTTCTTGCTCATGTTAACTTGTGGAAGAAGATGCAGATACAGAAATCTCAAATACACCACATACATCTCTAACGGACACTACCATTCCACCAGTCCTCTTCTCTATTGCTAATGTATTATAATAGCATATGAAATACTTTATTTTTACTTTGTACTAATGAACATTTACTTCCACAAGCAATGTATTTTTTGATTTGTATGTTTGTTTTCATGTAAAATAAACATCCGGTCAATGACAATGAAAACACAAATAACAAACAAAACGCCCCTGAAAGATTATATGTCAAACAATCTTGAACTAGAATCTAAATTAATGCCAGAAACTAATATGTATTTCTGGCATTACGTGTTCCATGTACACTGGTCACATATGTTACATAATGCAATAGCATGTGAATGCATACATATAATGTTTTATAATGTCCTATCCTTTGCACATAATAATTTATTTTCTATGGAGATAAACGCACGCTATTAGAACATGACTGCGCATATATTACTTGATGCGCAAAGAAATACGTTATTATACTTTCAGAAATGCAATAATCTATTAAACAATGAATATGTAAAATAATATAACCGCTATTGCTTGTTGGGATGCAAAGCTCTGATGTAATGTTGCTGCTTCCACCACCTGTAGATAATAGATTTACTGTATTTTTTATTTTAACAAATTGTTACTGTTTTTTAATAAAATGATTTTTTAAATAGTAAATACAAACTGTCATTTACCTTTAATTGAACCCTTTAATTGTAGCCCTTCCCTGAATTCTCTCCAAAGTATCTCCTTATGGAGATAAGGACCTTTTAAAATATTCTATACTCTGCCCTTGGGTTTTTACGTCCGAGATGCATTATCTTGCGCTTATCCACATTAAATGTCAGTTGCCACAGCACTGAGCATTTTTCTAGTTTATCTAAATAATTTGCCATTTGGTTTATCCCTCATGGAACATCAACCCTGTAACATATTTTTGTATCATCAGCAAAAGACATACCTTACCATCAAGACCTTCTGCAATATCACTAATAAAAATATTATTAAAGAGAATGGGTCCAAGTACAGATCCCTGAGGTACCCCTCTGGTGACAAGACTATGCTTTGAATATACTCTATTGACTACAACCCTCTATTGCCTGTCACTGAGCAACTGCCAAACCCATCTAACAATATTGGAATCCAAACAAAGCTTGCAGTTTATTGATAAGCCTTCAATGTATGACAGTTTCAAAAGCCTTACTGAAATCTAAGTAGGCAATGTCTACTGCAACACCCTGATCAATCAATATGATGCAAGGGTGGAGATATCGTAGAACCACAGCTGGCTTTGTGGGAGTTCTACTACAGTTGATGATCTAGCTTTTGTTTGGCCACCCTTGCTCTGTAGCTATACATACACACTATATGGTTAAAGGTATGTGGACAGCTCACAATCACACCTATATGAGCTTGTTGAACATTCCATTCTGAAACAATGGGTATTAATATGGAGTTGGCATCACTCGTTGTCACTACATTTATTAGTTATATGTTCTGACACTCCTATACAGTGCCTATAGTTATCATCTACATGGTATGTCACCAATCTTGAACAATATATTAAGTGTTTATTATTGGCTTTTGTAATAATAGTTAGCTTAGATAGATTTTAATCCTGCCTTATGCCCCCACCCACCATGGCGTGGGTAGGAGCATGTCTACTAAACAGTGAGCAGGCATGTTTATCTTTGTACTGTGTATTGATACATTGTTATTATTTTAATTGTGGTCCCTGAGGAAGTTCATACAGAACGAAACGCGTAGGACTTTTGTTCTGTAATCCATATCCTATGCTAAATTGGTGACTACATTTTTATATTGAATAAAAAAATAAATAAATTATTATTGAAACCTGACCTGTGGATGTCTTTTGGTGGAACAAGGATCCAGAGGTGATAAGAAGTATCAGTTAGCCCCCTTTACATCGGGGGAGGCACCCTAAGAGCGCTTATACCGTTCATATATTGTGAGTGAAAAAGATTACTGCGCACAGTATACCATAACAATATCACACTATGTTTTGTTTTATGTATTGACTGTAGGTTATACAGCCATATCCCGAATCTTCTTTGTTTTGGTTTACCAACTCCTATACAGTGCCTATAGTTATCATCCACATGGTATGTCACCAATCTTGAACAATATATTAAGTGTTTACTATTGGCTTTTTTTAATGATCACTGTCTAACCCACAGCATCCACCTATGGCCATGCTGTCTAACTCGTGGCCCCCATCCTTTCTGATGAGCCTCTCCGTGTTGTTTATGGGTTCATGGCTCACTAAGGCACTACCACTCTACCCGTACTTCTTATTACCCCATGGGTATGGGACAAAACCTTTTATAATCTTTCAACCCTATCCTGAAAAACTCCCACACGATCACCCTCCTGTGAGCTCAATGCCAAAATGACCAGTGGACCACCAGAGGAAAAAATACAAATCCACATCTATCTACCTCCCTCACATACACAACAAAATGTTCAAGACTGACACCTCCATTAGTGTCCATAACGCGGAATGTATGTTTGTTCCTGTTGCCTAGTGCCCTGCCCAAGGGCGATTGTAGTAAAGCAAGTACCTATGGTTGAAGTTTTTTTTGTGCAGAATCAAATACAGTATCAATGGGTCTGCTGGCTGCCTTAGTACCTCCTCTTTCTGCTTCTTCCTTCAGTTATTCAGACTTGTGATGTCTTTGCATATGTTGGATCAGACCTACATTAAGGAGATGATCCTTCACTCTCCTCCTAATATCTTTGCTGTACAATTTGCTCTTCTGAAAAAGTACCCTCATCGGATAGGTCTAGCCCGAATTAGATGCAAGTCCAAAGTTCAGCAGAACGCGGCTAACCTCAAATCAGGCACAGGACTCCAGAGTGCTGGGTAGAGATCTCCAGTCACCTAAAACCATAGAGCTTTCCATGGGTACATGAAGCTCCCCCAAGTTCTTGGTGTCGTTGGATGCCTCATCACATCCTCTCTTAATCCTCCAAAAAGTGTCCTTTTTGCTAGTTCAAGGACCGAGAGAGCACTGATTGAAGTTTCAGTGGACTGTGTCAACTCAGCAATCCGCTATAGAGTTGCACATGTTACGAGATACTCCCAGTCAGGCGTACCATGTATTCTTCTTCTTGGATTCCTGGCCAGTAGAGGCTACTTCTGGGGCCGCAAACAAGTCTAGTTGGCTCGGGAGACATGGGATGGAGGGTCAATATCTAGTGAAAAAAGTCTTTTTAGAGAGGGTGAGGATTAGGAGACCTGAAGGTCCTTTTTGGATGAACTTGGGAATGTCAGAGTAGTTCTAGTCCTGGGTCACAAACTGTCTGCTAGGCCTACCTGTCAGGATTCCAGTTTTGTTAAATGTATTGTAAAGTCTAGGCTCCACTGCAGCAACCGTGCATTGTCTTCGTCGACTCAGCCATATCAACGGGTTGTGGTTTGTAATAATGGTAAAGTAGCATCTTTAGAGGTAGAGGGTGAGCTTCTTTAGTGCCTAGTCTAAGACCAAGCACTTTTTCTCTACTGCAGCGCAACGTCACACTCTTAAAGTAGTTTCAAAACTGCTTTTGTGCAATCTGCTAGCCTCAACCCTTGGCCTTATGGCTGAGAGTGATGCAGGTGGATTTGCATCTATGGAAGCTGTGAAGACACTAGGACTTATTTGTCTAATGCTGATGGGAAGGGAAGTGTTAATATTTTCACTGGGTGAGCCATGTCTGGAAATGGTAGGAGATGAAGCTCCAGCTGTTTCCATTAAATGAAACTGTGCCTGACTGCCTGATACTACCGCCACACATGCTTCCTAGCTGTAACCGGGACACCCATAGCACTTCAGCCCCCAGTCACCTACAGAGTGTATAGCTGTCTAACCCAAGCACTAGCCAAGACTTAGTCAAGGGTGAAGAACTGATTTTATTAAGCAAAGCCCACAGATTTATACCCAGACCCCGAGCATCGGGTTACCTCACCATTCATTGTAGCATAAACCCACCTAGGCGCCTCTGTGTCTGGGATATAAGTGAGTCTGTTAAACTAATTATCTCCTGGACACAGAAAGTGCAAACACACAAAATACTCTAAAACACACACAATATAAGCAAACACCGCCACATGTCATACATCCCCAGATAACTCGTCCCTGAGCACCCAATCTGTCCAAATAGTGCCCGGATCAGAGGTGGCTGGACCGATTTGGATGGGAGTCAAAGTTTTAGCAGGCTGCGGCTTTTTTCCTGCTAAAACTGCTGTCTCTGCTCTCCAGACTCTTAATTCCTTTTTTCTCCTGGGACAGACCAACAAATGTTTGGAGTGGTGAAGGAAAAAACAATATCCTCATCACTAAATTCCTCAGCCCCAGCAAGATCAACCATTGGAGACACTACTTGAATATTCTGCTCTACTACTTCAGTAAAGAGTGACACTAGTAGTACATACAAATTCTCTGCTGAGTTCACCCTTCGTCACTTCTTGGGAGGGGAATCATAGAAATAGGGGGTAAGACACAACGACAATAGAGAGGCTGTACTCCTTTCCATGGATGCCGAAAAGGCGTTCGACCGAGAGGACTAGACTTATGTGGCAGAAATGCTGCACTGCTTGTGATTCAGCCCACACTTGCGAACCTGGGTGTCGGTGCTATACACTATACCAACAGAACACATATGCATCAACGATGTACTGACAAAGCCATTCCCCATCTGTAACTGCACCCGGCGAGGGTGCCCTCTCTCTTGAACCATTCCTCGAGGTGGTCAGACGGGACGGGGATATCATGGGCACTGCGTAACGGCATATGCAGACGATATGCTCTTCTTCCTGGAACAGCCGATTATCTCCGTGCCCAACCTGTTGGAGGCGTTCAAGAAAAATAACAGTGTCCAACCTGAAACTCAATCTAGATAAGTCCGACGCCATGCCGGTAATGCAGGACAGGGAACTGGCCTCCCATCTCAGCACGCAATTCGCCTTTATGTGGTGCACTACTAAATTACGATACTTAGGAACCTGGCTGCCGAGCGACCTCTCACAGCTCTATCAACTGAACTTCCTCCCTCTATTCACAACTCTACAGAAAGATCTTCAGCGGTGGTCTGCTCAATACACACATTAACGTCTTACCGCGCCTACTGTACCTGTTCCAGACACTGCCCATGGCAATCCCGCAGGCATTCTTCCGTACCTTGACGACAGCCATTTGCCGGTTTGTCTGGAACCAGCGACCTACTCGTATCTGCAGAACAGTCCGGGAGCAACCGAAGTTCGCTGGGGGCGCAGGACTGCCGTCCAAACTTACATAATTCCAGGCGACGCACTTGCACAATCTTGTTGATTGGCATGCCCGCACGAGCTCTAAAAGATGGGTGAACATGGAAGTCCACCAGTCACGGGGTAGGATACACTCCATGCTGTGGCTCGGTGGAGCCTCCTATTCCGAAATACGTACAGGCAAACCCATGATTGATGCTAGCCTGGTGCAACCTACATTACTCCCGGCAGCTTACCACATCACCAAACCCACTCACCCCCATCACAAACAATCCGGATCTAGCCAGAGGGCTGCACCCCTAACAAATTTTCAGGCGACAGACTGGAGTTATTTGCTCCAATGGAGCAAGCAGTCTCAAGCCTCTGGTGGACCTTCTCACAGACCTCAGACCGACACAACTTGAAGAATTCCACTATCACCAGGTTAAGACATACTACACATCCATTTGAGGCAGAGACCATCTCCACAGGACCTTGAAGTACTTTAAAAACCTATGCACATGTAGACAACATGTTGTACATGGAGTATCGACCCTCTACAACGCCCTCTTAATTAGCGGAGACAGACGCCCACTGAGATTCAGAAAGAAACGGGAAAGGGAGACAGTGGTCGAGCTCACTGACCAAGAATGGGACAAAATATTCCTCCTGACGCACAAATGCTCCATAAGCTTGAAACACCAGGAAATGAGCTACAAATTGTTGACACAATGGTACAGGACCCCAGACGACACCAACATGACTCCAATCCCAACAAATGTTGGAGATGCGACACATGGACCGGCCTGCATATTTGGTGGACATGCCCCGTTATAGTCTCGTACAGGCAGATGATCAATGTGAAAATTAGGAAGATTATGGACACAGACTTACCACTACTACCACTGATGATGCTCCTTAACCACACAATCACCCCACTGAAGACGTACAAAAATCCCTCACCATACACCTCTCAGCGGCTAAGTCCCTCGTTCCGTTACACTGGAAACAAACGTGTGTGTCCACCTTCCAGCAATGGGTGGACAAGGTAGAGGACATCTACAGCATTGAAATACAAGATTGCTCAGACACCTGAAACACAACAGAGCAGCCTAGCTGGAGCTTCAAGTGTGCCCCCCCTCACATTCTGTGGCGGGACGGAAGAGAGAGAGAGAGAGAGAGAAAACTTTTTCCCCTTCTTACTTACCTCTCCTCTCTCTCCTCATCCCCTCCTTTTCCTCTCTATTTCTCCTTCCCTATCTCCCCCTCCCACCACTCTCTCCACCCATGCGCACCCTGAATTTCCCCTTACCATGCCCACAACATACCCCGTGAGCAAAGGCTACAGACGTCCAACTAATGACGCAATATTGTTGGTGATGACCACAGTGGACGACCTAATGCGCATATAGCTCAAGCTGAGACAAGGCTCAAAGGTCGAAGAAATAAAACGCCCCCGCAGAGCCCTCAAACAGGCCCCACCCTTACAAGAAATCAGGTGGAGAACTGGACTGGTCCACTACACAAAACTGAATACTGGGACTGTAACCACTGACACGATCTACACAGACCCTCTGCAGACACCTAGTTCTGTTGGCATCTCACGAAAACACGCAACAGGTCACATTAGCGGTCAAGCTTGTGTGATCGCTAAATGTGTTAATCCACCTACATTCCCCAATGTTCTGTATGCAATGAAAAACACGGTGATGTATTTTTTAAAACTATGACAATAGAAATAAAGAATGTAAAAAAACAAAAACAAAACAACCCCCCCCCCCACAATAGGTCTACTGGTTTCACAGATTCCTTGCTCTGAGCACCATAAAATCACAGGAGCTGTAACACTTTAACTAGCTGTGCTGGAATGAGCTGGGGTACCAGTGGAAATGGCAATAGAAGTTACTGAAGCTTGAAAAGACTGAGAAACATAAATTGCCTTCTGTGTGGTGAATCGGACTTAAAAGAAATGCTGCTAATCCCGCTATCCTGAAGTCGAATGTGACTTATAGTGACACACATGGAGGAGCAGTACTCATGGTCCAGCTAGAGTTGTTGCGATTTTCAGAAGACATGGCACTAATGCTGTTGCTGGATTGGGGAACACAAACCCTTCCTCAATTTCTTCCTGGGATAGAGAGGGAACATTGATGATGACGTGTAACAGTAAATTAGGTATAAAAATGAATGTATAAACTAAAAGAAACGTATTCAGCAAAAATAGGTGTTTGTGTTGGAAAACAAAGGGTAGGGCTTGGTGGATTTACTACAGTAACGTTCTTGTGTTTGACGTTAAAATACTGCACAATGCTTTACTGCTCATACACTTGCAGAAAAAAAAACAAAAAACATTTTTTTACACTGTATTCTGAAAAGACCTGCCTGAATACAAATTTGGGGAAAAACAAAACACACTTAACAGCCCCCCCAAAAAAACAACCTTTAACAACTGTATATTCGTAACCTAGTCTCACATTAGGATGACAAAATACCTGACAATCTGTCCAATTGAAATGGCCGAGTTAGCTAACCTACATACAGCAGAAACTGCTCAATCTAGTCTACAATCAATTACCAAGACTAGGCAAATGGATTTTATTTCACCCTATGCCCTGCCACACTTGCTAAAAGAAGGATTCTTTCCTCCAAACAGTAAGCAACAACAACCTTAACAACTGTTTATCGTAAAATAGTCTCACACTAGAATCAATAGATTTCTGTATTTGAGTGTCTTTCCTGTCACCAGAAAAAGGGTACTGAATCATGAAACAAACATGTTTGGGGCCGTTAGAGTTTGTCCTCCATCCTAGATTCCCCTGTGGGGCAGCTTGGAAATAGGAATTTCTGCTGATCACCCAAATAAACTGAATCCGGCTGTATGGCAGTTCAGTACAAAACTAATATTCAAATTTACTATGTACTATTTTTTTTGTTAGCATACGTTGAGTATTTGGTTTTATCCCTATACAGTGGTGACCCTGTTTGCATCACAACCAAATCTACCAGGCAGCCAAATGTGACAAGAGGACAGCTATCAAGAGTCCCCACTCTCTCCAAGGTGTTTAGCAAAATCGCTTGCCTCAATCTCTTAATAATATCACTATAACAGAACTGAAATCATCTACTTCACTCCCATTTCACAGGCCTATGCATGGGCCTCAAATCCACAGGCAGCATGAGTTGAAGAATAACATGGGAAGGATGAAAGGAGGAACTTGTATGCCTCTATGACAAGATTAAAATCAAATATTTTACTTGACGATGGATGCATTCCTTGGCTTGTAAACCTACACCTGTGTACCACCAGTTTGCGGGCCAGCCCCTCCATCTTTTCCCTGGCAGCTATTCTCTGTACTTTAACTGCTTATCATTTGGGGACAACCAATTACCTATTGGAGATCTATACTACATTCTCATTTTATCCTTAGAAAGTAGTTTGGGGAAAAAATGTGCTCCTCACTCATACCATAACTCTGCCCTGGAATGGAGCATGCTGAAATACATAAATGTTCTTCATTTTGGCAAATGCAGATGGCTCACTCCAGGAAGGAATATTTAGGCACAAATAAGGGAAATAAATTGTACCAGGGAGAGTATAAAACGTGAGCAAGACAAATGTAATACCCAATTGTGGCCTGAAAAAGCAATCTTGAATTGAGATTTGCTCCCAGAGGTTCAATTAAAACTTTAGGTGATAGCTGTTATTAATAGATCCCTTAATAGTTTATTTATACGGTAAAACACATTTAAACAGTTGGACCCACTTTCTTTTGTTGAATGCAATCCTTAAATATAAAAATAAAACAGCAACAGTCCCATATATATATATATATATATATATATATATATATATATATATATATATATATATATATATATATATATATATACACACACACACACACACACACAATTCTTTACCTTGGGGTGTAAAGAAAGAAATAAGTCCCGTGTGATATTTTGCCAATTTTTTTTTTTTAATAGACTATTTCATGACATTTTAAAGCTCTTCTGAACAAGACAAAGTCTGCTGAATATAAGAGAGAAAAAAAGCCTCTATTTAAAAATTATTTTGTTATAAATATATATATATTTTTTTTTACATTATTGCAGAAAAATAGATTAACAGGGTTATTTGAAGCAAGAATTTAAAGTTAATTTCAAATTTATGACCGAAGTAGCCAAAATAGAAACATAACGGAGTTGGATAAATATTTCTATTCAGTTATCTTAAATTTGAAGTTTATTTTCAATGCTCACTTTAGCGAATAGTTCTGTGCATAAATAATGCAAAGTAGAGATTGTTAGTGGAAGTCTGTAGTACTTCCTGGAGAAGTTGAAGGGTTAGAGCTGCACACATGTCACAAAGATTTTTGGTTGGCTTGTAACTGGATATGATGTAAAGGTTGTAATATTTATTTTCCCATGTAATAGCCGTGCATTATAAGTTTCAGCTGCAGAATAAATCTGTTTATGTGCAAACCAACCAGGAAACCAATGTAAAGTTCCAGGATGCAGAAACAAGTAAGCCCAAAGCAGAAACAAACAGTAGAGATAAAATGCAATTGCTAAAAAAGATAAAGGTTGTGTACAGTGAAAGTTTTGTATCCAAGGATCCACTCTAGGGACCACTTCTATTTGGTTATTAATTCTCTCTTATAGCCTGAGCCACATACAGCATTTCCAAAGCTACTCCCAGGACTCACAGTACCAAACCCTGCAGGAACAGCCATAAGCCGAGCCTGGGCCTCATACAGCATTTCCAAAGCTACTTGCAAGATTCACAGTACCAAACCGTACACGAACAGCCATAAGCACAGCCTCGGCCGGTCCTTCAAAGGGCATTGAAGGTCCCAACGAAGTATGTACAGTTGAGACAAAAATAAGATAAGGCACACCCCTAACCTCGGCATCCTGTAGAGCAGGACACAGGTGTGTAGGTAAAAGCCATCATGCCTGTGAAGTGATTCGCACCACTGGGTCTGTCCATAGGTTGCCTAGAAAGGACAACTTTGCACACCAGGCTGCCTGTCAATTATCCAGGCCAGCCAACTAAGGGCTGACTACTGAGAGAGCATGGTGTCAGTGCTCTATGCAGTGTCTTAATGCCCTGAGCGCGTCTAATAACGTGCTCACACTATGCTTTTCAGGGACATTTTCCTTGTGTCCCCAAAAGAGGAACACAATTACAATTACTTATATAGCACCAACATATTTCACAGCACTGTACAATAGGCAAACAATACAAAACATTTAAATACGTGCAATGGCTGAGTGACATATCCACAGGCAGGGATTATACGCCCAGTGTATATATCTGGAGCTGAACATAAGCTCTAGAAAATTGTAAGTGGTATCTCTCTTATTTTACCTCATCACCTATAGAATATACTACACTATATGCTGTTTTCTGTCTTCATATTTTCCATATGGATTCACCCCCATACAAATTTGAGGATACCCAGAAGGAACAAAGTTGGGACAGATATCTAAAATCAGGACTGCTCTTCCAAAAATCAAGAAGAGTGGATGGCCTGGATGAGATAATGAGGTCTAAGCAGGATATTGCTTCTTTGCAAGGGGCAGTCTTAATTAATCATGATGTGTAATATCACACCATTATACAAGATCAATACAAATGTCTCTCGTGTAAACATAGAACTCATTCCTTATGCACGTTAAAAAGAATCAGTTACTTACAGAAAGAAAAAAAAAAAAAAAAAGGCATGGGAGGCAGGAGCAGAACACCCAGGGTCACAAAGGTCACAAGTGCGACCATGCCCAAGGTGTTCCAGGTCTCACAAGAGGTCCACCAGCTGGGAAACCCCATTGGGTGACCCGCACAATTAGGGCCACCTGTTGGGCATCTCTGATCGGACAGGCCCCATGGCCTTTAATAGCAAAATGGACTGAGCCTCTGTCAGACCACTAGTTTCCCTGTGGCCTCTTGGGGTGAAGTGAGTTCAGGTCACCTCCTCCCAGATTGCAGAGAGCCGCACAGGGAGGGGGACGGACTGTGGAAGCATGTCACCTCAAGACTCCCATCAGTTTTAGCCAGCTTGCTATCACTGGACCCCAGGAAAGCCACTCTCATACACCCAAAATGTACAAAAACCAATAGGATGGCTAGCCATATGTAAAATAGTTTCATTGTCTCCACCTTCACATACTGTGCTCACTGACAGAAAAGGGCAAAACAAACATTGACAAGGAGCCTATTTATGTAAAAGGTAATATAGATGAGTATTAAAAGCTTGGTCATTCAGGGAGTAGACAAAAAGCATTTTAAAGTTTAGTGTTACACACGCGCACTGACACTTTAGCATCAAACAACCACTTTAAGGCATTCTTTCAAAACAAACATGGATCCATGAAATGTTACTCTAATTTTACACCCATAAGAATACGTTAAATTTACAATAAAACTGACTTAAACACGAAACAAAAGACAAACAAACCTACATACATTCCAGAGACATGCATGCATGCTTCACACAAATGCACATTAACCACCCCATCCCCATCCGAACAAAAACAATTTAAAAAGTACAAAAGTCAGACAGAAATCATTGAGTTGAAATGTGGAGTATAATTCCGGCATTCTGCACTATATACAGTTTTTACATTGGGCTAAGGCCAAAAGCCATACTCAGAAGGACCAAATCAGAAAGGTTGTGGGAGGGTGACAGTCCTTTTGTGTTTAGGGTTGCAGAATGTGTTATAAAAACCCTTCCTACAACATAACATGTAGTCCTGCTGAGCAAAAAGTGATCAAGCCCTCTCCCAGCAGAGATGACCCAATTCTCTGTGGATTGAGGGGCATTTTAATGCAAGAGATTAATAATTTAAAAAAAAAAATAAAGAAAAAAAAATAATGTTTACAATAGATTAAAAGAATTATGAGGGATACGAATGCAATCACAGCTCCTCTGCCAGATTTCCTTTGCCTTGGATCAGTCTTTGGGGCGTTCCAACAGGGGTGTCAAGATAGATGACCTTGTGAACACACTCATCCACGCCGTAGTGGTCTGGATGTGCTCATATCACTGTGTATACTTGGCTAAAACCTCAAGCACATCCATCACAGGTAAGATCTGTGTATGCATGACTACATACTCGCCTATATACATGTGCAAAAGACACACGTTACCAAATTCACACTCAACTCTGTGCATACATAGAGCTTGGAAAGAGTGCACAATCTACGTATATAATGTGTAGATCATAGACAAACAACATGTAGCATTCCAGCTGTCTATACTAAATAAAGGGATTGCTTAAAATTTGGCATGGTTTAAAGATCAGCTGGAACAGCACATACTGTTTTCTTCTGTGTCTAGATCACACTGTATATTATACATATATATTTAAATATGTACACTGTACAACCCCACACATACTCGTTACTTTGCCTTCTACCACACTAGCTCTTATGTAAACACACAGTGACAATAGCTGGTCAGTGGGCTCCCTCTAGTTGGTAGCGGAGCTCCCAGTGGAGCAAAAATAGAGTATGTAATCCGTTGTGTTAATGGAGGTGGGCAGAGAGTTCATCATGTAAGTGTGGATTTAGGCAAGGAAAACTACAAAAATGATGAAGAAAACAATGAGTATAAGGAAGATCTTAATCATGAGCCAACGGTTTGATGTGACAGACTGGAAATACTTCAAGATTTCTGAGTGAGCAGCTTCCACGTTTAATGAGGTGTCTTCAATGTTACCGTCAATCCTGCAGATGGCATGAAATTGGAGTGTTAATGAAAACGAGTAAGACAAGCAGACAAGTAACTTCTCTGAATTGAGTTTCTTATTTAAGTATAGGTTTGGTAATCATATTAGTGACTGATTCAGTGGAGGAACCACAGCTCCAATTTCTCACCTTTGTATAGTCTCCTCTTGTTCTTTCACCATGTGGGCCAGTTGTTGGAAGATGGAACCCAGCTCAACAATAGTGGATTCTATGTTTTGCATAGTGTCTGCTCGGCTCTGAATATAAGAGTCCTTAATAAAGGGAGATACATGAAAAAATTAAAACGTGTGTTTATAGTTGGCTTTCTGGCAAAGTCAGAGTTTTCTGCTAGTCTGGACTAACTTACTGCATATTTCCAGCATGGGTACTAGACTATAAACATTACGATCTTACAGGGGGTATAATAACATTATACAAATATATTTAGGGCCAATGCAAACCATTGTCTGGAAATCTATTAATAAACAGGACTATACATAGGACACAAGGTCACACATTTAGACTGGAAGAAAGGAGGTTTAGTCTAAGGCAAAGGAAAGGGTTTTGTACACTAAGAACAAGGATGTGGAATTCTCTGCCTAAAGAGGTTGTTTTACAAGAGTCGATACAGATGTGTAAACAGAAATTGGATAGATACTTGCACAAACATAATCAGGGACATCATATTTAATTAGTGGGGTAATAGCGTCTTGATCCAAGGAGATATCGGACTGTCATTCAGGGGTCAAGAAGGATTTTTTTCCTAGATTGCTGCAAAATTGGAAGTGCTTCAAACTGGGCTTTTTGCCTTCTTTCGGATCAACAGCAAAAACAAATGTGAGAAATGCTGAACTTGGACACATTTCTCTTTTCAGTTATGTTACTACATATTGAAACCTTGTACTATTTATTACAAGTCTTACCTGCTCATCTATGAGCTGCAACTGTTGGCTGACTTTCGAATCCATTTCTATTGTCACTTCACCATGTCTGCGAGAATCATCTTGTAACAGAACAGAGGGACCTGAAAATATCAAAGAAACACGTAAACACAAAAACAACTTCAAGGGGAGGTTGTTGCTCAAAACATAGCTAACAGGATGTGAATAAATAGGATACTTGAGAGAGACATGGATAGGAGTGTACTTTTGAAAATAGAGAGAGATCTGATTGGAAGGTAAAACAACAACAGCAGCAATAATAGTGGCAAAGAGACAATGACACACCATTATGCAAAGAAATTAAGAAAATTTATATAGATACAGAAAGCATAAAACAGACAGACAGTTCATATTACCCAAACTATTATGCTGAAAGGGATGAGATGAGACCTGGCCCTGAGAGTAATGCTCTCTGCGACTCCTCTGCTGCTTCAAATTCTAAGAAACAAACAAAAAAGTCAAAGCATAATCCAAATATTAAAGTTATTCAATGGTCTATATCCATTATCAAGATTTCTCCAAAGCATCTCACCTCTGTCCTTACTTCCAATACAGACTTAAAGTCGTTCGACATGGACGCCAGTTTGGACTTCAGAAGGAAAAACAAAAAAAGAGTTGTGTTTGTGGGGAAGAACAGCAACAGACAAATTAAATCCACCACCATCTGAGTAGTAAATCATTATGTGTAAGAAAAGGCCAAATATTACTAATATGTGACCACACGTCTAAGCATTTCTTGGTGTTCGTTATGATAAACCTATTTTATTAGGCTTCTTGGATAAGAATATACACAACTGACAATAATGCTTTAAATATTTTGCTAGCTGCAAGATGATAGGAACCACTGGTAGGACACCAAAATAAGGGAAGACTATTTCCAGATTAGTCACACTCTGTGATCCCTCTCTCACCTGCAAAGAGACTACTACAGTGTTTGAGTGAGTCTGAAGATGTCGTCCACTCTGACTGCCCCGAGCTCGGACAAATGACTGGAGCTGAGCAATTTGTTGGTTGAGACTGCCAATGTCCTGAAAACAGAGAAATAAAAATGTGAGAATGACTGAAAGCACCAAGGGCAGCCAACAGCTAGAACTTTTGTTAAAGATAATTGCAAAACTTCAATCTATATTCTTTTGACATAAAAGAGAACATTTATGTGCATTACAAACAATGTCACTGTCGTAACCATGCCTTTTTGTACTTTTATTGTCCAAGGAAGTCTGCACCTTTCAACATCCCAAGGGCTGCCATTGATTTAAGATCAAGCTAAGGATTTTCTTGTTACTGACTAGGATTTATAATCTATAAGCATATTTAGGTAAAAACACCAAGCATTCTCCCTGTAGCCTCTCTCTAAAATCCAACATTTCCTGCGGAAGTAAAATGCATAACCTGCTAATGGCGTTATTTTTAAATTTCACCTTTGTTGATCCCAGTATGCTATTTCATATAAAAATAAATATATAAATATTTAATTCTGACTACGTTGACTGGGGGACTTCAAATCTCGAGTTTACCAATGACAGCTACTGGTCGTCTAATCCAGAAATAGAGATAGAAATTATAAACACATTTGCATACCTGTTTAATGATGTAGGTCAGCTCCTCAATCTCCACAGCTTTGTCATCAAAGAGAGACTTCCTTTTTGCCACTAAAGGTAAAGAAAAACAAAAAAACAAAACACAAAATGTAAACAGATCCCAGAAGAAGGGTTATGCAGCCATAAACGTCTACTGACTACATTATACTTTTAACCGATGTAATTGTTTAGTAGACAAATTATAAATAGCCTTCTTCACATATTTGACAGACTTTTCTACCATGTACTAGTACTTTGCCCAAACTAATAATGTGTGATATTCTAGCAGTAAAACAACTGGCCAGATAGACTAGAACAAGCCTATCAAATGACATGTTAAATTATTTTTCTAAATATTGAATGCAAACAAGTCGACTGTCCATATATCGTAGACAAACACACACAAAGTGCAAGAAATACTTACATATTGTCAATTTTTCCAGTTTGCTAAATGTGTTACTAAGATCCTTTCCAATGCGTCTGCAGAAGAGAGAAAGGGTGAATGACTATAAAGGAATTTATAATACACAATGTGAGGAGACAAAATAAGACTATATGATTGAGTAGATAAAGAGAGTGAAGAACAAATGGTAAGGAACTCAGAATGTTTACAGGGTGTGAGCCAGAGGAAGATTATCAAAGGAGCATACAGAGTGAACGTGGACATTTTCTATCTCAGCTATTTTGGCCTAATTTATGCAATTCTCCACTAGTAAATAAGACCATTTGTGAAGGCATGGGGTGAAGCAAGTGAGGTTCTCTGAATAGTAAAGACATAGAAAAGTGTGATGGAATGAGGAGGTCAGAGATCAGGGCCAAGTGTACCCAAAGAACAAAATAAAAAGGGATATGACCGAAGGAGCAGACTACCAGGAGAAAACATTGTCAGAACTTACTTTGCCATAAGTGTGAACTCGCTTCTCTGTTTAACCGCATTTTGAGAAGGTGTGGACAACTGAACGCCATTCTAAGAAAAAAAAGACAATATTGTCTAAATTGTGAATCATGTTTAGACCACAAAGAAGTTTAAATTACATAGAACCTCCCATATTTTTAAGACTTTGAAACTCGTGATAGCCTGTCCACTTCACAGATCTATTTTACATGCCCGAGTCACCAACCGTAATATTAACCATCTAATCATGCAATGGACACCTCTAATTTCCCTGTGGTAATTAATCTAACCTGACGACCACGTAAAGACTTGCAAGCTGAGATGAATTCAGCAGTCCGGTCACGACAGGACATAATTTCAGCAGGAGGAACAGGAAGTACTGGGGTGGGTGCTTCTGAAGTGATCTGGGAGGGCAGGACCTGGGTCTGGGGTGGTCCTACGTATACTCCGTTCTCTGTGTTACGGGAACCGTGACGTTTGCGAGTGTTCATGGGGCCTGGACCACCTGTAGGAGAGAGTAAAAATGTAAGTCTCAGTAGAAGAACTACATAATTGTGTAAGTACATGTGCCAAGAAGGCATAGTCTGAGGAATATATATATATATATATATATATATATACATATATATATACACACACACACACACACACAAAAAATGCATAATTTAGCCAGAATAAAAACATATGCTTCCATTTTACACAGCCAAGTGTGCATACATACATATCAGTGCATTATTTAATATTTACTAAATAATGAACTACTGCATGAATTGTGCATGAATGAGTGGCATATTATCTCTGTAAAGTAAGTCAATTAAGGAGAGATGTCACAACACATTTAAACAATACTTTATATTCCCAAGTCCCCATTACACCAGAGACAGATATGATATATCACAAAAATTCCATTAATGGAACATTCCAAGCACCATAACTACTACAGCACAACATACAGGGAGTGCAGAATTATTAGGCAAATGAGTATTTTGACCACATCATCCTCTTTATGCATGTTGTCTTACTCCAAGCTGTATAGGCTCGAAAGCCTACTACCAATTAAGCATATTAGGTGATGTGCATCTCTGTAATGAGAAGGGGTGTGGTCTAATGACATCAACACCCTATATCAGGTGTGCATAATTATTAGGCAACTTCCTTTCCTTTGGCAAAATGGGTCAAAGAAGGACTTGACAGGCTCAGAAAAGTCAAAAATAGTGAGATATCTTGCAGAGGGATGCTGCACTCTTAAAATTGCAAAGCTTCTGAAGCGTGATCATCGAACAATCAAGCGTTTCATTCAAAATAGTCAACAGGGTCGCAAGAAGCGTGTGGAAAAACCAAGGCGCAAAATAACTGCCCATGAACTGAGAAAAGTCAAGCGTGCAGCTGCCACGATGCCACTTGCCACCAGTTTGGCCATATTTCAGAGCTGCAACATCACTGGAGTGCCCAAAAGCACAAGGTGTGCAATACTCAGAGACATGGCCAAGGTAAGAAAGGCTGAAAGACGACCACCACTGAACAAGACACACAAGCTGAAGCGTCAAGACTGGGCCAAGAAATATCTCAAGACTGATTTTTCTAAGGTTTTATGGACTGATGAAATGAGAGTGAGTCTTGATGGGCCAGATGGATGGGCCCGTGGCTGGATTGGTAAAGGGCAGAGAGCTCCAGTCCGACTCAGACGCCAGCAAGGTGGAGGTGGAGTACTGGTTTGGGCTGGTATCATCAAAGATGAGCTTGTGGGGCCTTTTCGGGTTGAGGATGGAGTCAAGCTCAACTCCCAGTCCTACTGCCAGTTCCTGGAAGACACCTTCTTCAAGCAGTGGTACAGGAAGAAGTCTGCATCCTTCAAGAAAAACATGATTTTCATGCAGGACAATGCTCCATCACACGCGTCCAAGTACTCCACAGCGTGGCTGGCAAGAAAGGGTATAAAAGAAGAAAATCTAATGACATGGCCTCCTTGTTCACCTGATCTGAACCCCATTGAGAACCTGTGGTCCATCATCAAATGTGAGATTTACAAGGAGGGAAAACAGTACACCTCTCTGAACAGTGTCTGGGAGGCTGTGGTTGCTGCTGCACGCAATGTTGATGGTGAACAGATCAAAACACTGACAGAATCCATGGATGGCAGGCTTTTGAGTGTCCTTGCAAAGAAAGGTGGCTATATTGGTCACTGATTTGTTTTTGTTTTGTTTTTGAATGTCAGAAATGTATATTTGTGAATGTTGAGATGTTATATTGGTTTCACTGGTAATAATAAATAATTGAAATGGGTATATATTTGTTTTTTGTTAAGTTGCCTAATAATTATGCACAGTAATAGTCACCTGCACACACAGATATCCCCCTAACATAGCTAAAACTAAAAACAAACTAAAAACTACTTCCAAAAATATTCAGCTTTGATATTAATGAGTTTTTTGGGTTCATTGAGAACATGGTTGTTGTTCAATAATAAAATTAATCCTCAAAAATACAACTTGCCTAATAATTCTGCACTCCCTGTAGAGCATTGAATTGATTAACTTCTTACCTGGGGTCTGCTGGATGCTGCTTCATGCTTCCTCTACCTTAGTCACAAAAGAGCTTCTTGCTCTCTGTGACTAAGTCCAGCAGTGCAGGGTTTAGTTAATTGGCTGAGAGTGATGAGTTGACGCTCTCAGCCAATGAACTAGCACTGAAAGGTAGGTCTTACCTTAAGAATGCTAACAGGAGCTTCCAGATCTCTGGCTGAGGTAGTGGAGATGGGGTGCGGCACCCAGCAGACCCTATGCAAGAAGTCCTATTGAACAGCTTAACAGAATTAGTTGCTGCTTTATAAATAATAATTCTTAAATTCTACAAAGGTGAGGGGGGCGTCGGTGCACTCTAGTACCAAAACCACTACTGTGTGGTGTAGCAGTTATGGCACTAGAGTGTTCCTTTAAAAAATATTAAGAAGTAAAAAAGTTGTCTTGGTTGTAACCAGGAGTTTAATTCTTTACAAATGGATTCACACTAATGCCCCAAACTATGCCTATGTTCCCTCCAAATTATTCTAAGTCTTCAATGGCTTGAAGCCCTCTCACACAAGGATGAGAACACTAAAACTTCGCTCCATGTGTACAAAATACATTGGGCAATTGAGTATACTAACTTGCATCTTAAGTTGGTAAGAGGAAATCATCTTGCAAATTTGCAAGATGGTGTCAATTATAGATAGTTTGGTGTTTTTTTGAGTGGGGTTGGCGAGGAAAAGTTGGCAGATTGTTAAACCATTGTGAGTCAAGTAAAATGTTGTCTCTTTAGCATAAACAGTACAATTTTACTGCACTGCACACAGGAATGTTGAAGATTATATATAGAAAGAAATTAAAAACAAAATAAAAACCCAATGAAACCCATAAACCACTGTCTATTCCAGTTTTCAATCTTAATATCTGCAATAGACCACTGACATAGTAAGATTGCAAACGCATTCATATAGCACTTATCTAATTTCAAAATAAAGAAACAATATGCTTTCCTATTTAAAATAGGATTTCCCCTTTTATGGCAGAACAAGATATCCCATTTAGGACTGGGTATGTCTGCACTGTTTAAGAGAAGCAATTCTAACCGTGTATTGTTTGAATTTCTTTCTAGGTTCAGTCACCTCCCCATTGTTCACTACAATATATGTCTGGAAAGGTGAGAATTTAGGAACCAACAGGTTATGTAAATTGCAATTACAGTCTTTAAAACGCAATTGCTCACTGTGAAGTGTGTTTTCTAGTGTTTTAACATGCTGTAAATATCTGTAAAGCATCCTGTCTTCTCGCAAAACTTGACTACACTTTTTGAAACTTAAGCCTGTTGTCATATAACAAATCTGTCACTTGCATTTCAAGAGCTGTAGTTTCCTTCCCTTATGTCCAACATTAAAATGGTTATTCACTAAAGTGAGAATTCAAGGTAAATTTAAACTTTTAGTTCAAAATGGCCAGAAGTGAAATGTTCTCTCAGTTATGCTCTTAGTTTGGCTTCTCTGGCCTAAAATTTGAAATTCAGTTGGCATCCACTCTGAAATCTCACTTTAGTAAATAACCTTATAAATAAGATGATTTTAACCCCCTACGATCTGTCAAGGTATCTGGAAAAGTCCTTATATATAATTAATAACAACTTGCACAAAAATAGGTCTATCCAATATAGTAAAAAATGTGACGAGTCTGTCATCAGTGGGAGTTTGTTGAATCAACCAACAAGGCATTGGAGAAACCCATGATTCATAGACTGTCAATTCCAACATTCAAATTTTGGCAATCCTACAGCTATGAAATATAGTAAAAAGGGAAATAATGTGGCAGATCATGCTCAGAGAGTATTAACACTGTTTCCAAAAGGAGCATTCCATGCTATGTTTGGAAGAGATACACAACAGTGACACAGACAAGTGTTCCAGGGTCGCAACGGTTTCAAGTGTGACCAGGACCAGTGTGTTCTGTGTCTCAGAGGGGATTGTGTTGGCCCACAAACTAAAGTTAGTCATTGGGTGGTCCATGTACTTGGAGTCACATGATGGGTATTTCTGATCAGTGGCCCGTCTTTAACAACGCAACTGGGCCCCTGTCAGATCTGCTACTATGCTGTGGCCTGTACCCATTTTCTCCCAGCTTTAAGAGCGCCGCATGGAGAGTGAGACTATGTGCATGCATCTCAGCATTTAAACGCCAATACTACACACAAATACAAACCACTGCAATCATATGGCAACAGTACATACAAACACACTCCTACATTCACAAACATACAAACACAAGCTAACATCCAAACACACAAAAACTGCAGAATACAACCCTGTAAAGATAGACAAATGGAAGACCCCCAACTGGCAAAGCACCGTAGGACAGTTGAGGATCCAGCATTTACACTTGCAATAGAGAGGGGCCCAAAAAACAGTCTTGCATTAGAGCCCTCTCTACATTAGTTAAGCACTATTCACAGATCTCTCAAACATAGGACATAGGATGCGGTCATAAAATGTCAATCTTTTCAAAAATCTCAATAGGGACTGCTAACTTCATGATGATTTATCTGTGGGATAACATCAATGTAATAGGATTGTTAGAGACAGACAGATTACACGGTTTGCCATGTTTCACACAAACTCGCATTGTGTAACCCACTGAGAAAATGTACCAGGGATTCGTCAGGTGTTTGACGTAGAAAAACTAGTTGGGACTTAAATGTTCTTTCATAGCTCCTAGAACTTGAATGACAAAACAGGTTTGGCATACAGGAACAAGAGGAAATGAAGGCTCTGCACTAGCAAATTCACAGACTAAAGGAAATAAGGCAAATTTACACAAAAAGTAAAGCAGGGATAACTAACATGTATCCCTAGATGTTGAGACTTAGAAACACTGTATGAACCCAGATCACTTAAGCTAATTGAAGTAGTTTAGGTGCACTGTCCCTTTTGCACCTAGTGCTGCAATGTTAAACATTGCAGTTCCAGAGAAACTACAATGTTTACATTCCAGCACTACGTCAGCACTAGAGGGCTTCCTGAATTGAAACAGACCTTTGGTCTGGCATCTGACACTGGAAGTCCTCACGCTCTGCATGAGGACACTCGGCGTCTGATTTTTCCCCACAGGAAACCATTTTTATAGCGCAAGCTCGTCGTGGGCCGTCAGAGCAGGCAGAGCGTTGGCCCAGCGCCGAGAGACAACTACGCTGGGATTAAGTAAGTAAATAAAGGGTTTTTAATGCTTTATTTACTGGAGGGCAAGGGGGGGAGGGCAATAGAGCTGCCTTAAAGTGATACTAAAGTGACAGGAATACAAAGCTGGAATACAGCAAACGGAAATTAAAATTACACAATTTAGGCAACAATTTTTAGTCTGAAAAAAATTAAATTCAGCTATACGTGAAGATAGGCTAGTTTAGCTTAAACCTTGCTCTTTGTATCTCAATTTGGTAAAATTCTAGGTTTCGCAAATAGACCTCTAAGTATTACTTGATAGAAGACTAAACTCTTTAGTCTGACTATAGCAAATAGACTAGATAACTGTTCCAGATGTTTGTGTGTTTGCAAAATTCCAGAGAGACGTTTAATTACATCTCCAAATAGTACTAGATCATATAAAAATAAATTAGCAAAAGGCCCAGTGAAATGACATGAATACATCTTCTTGAGGGCTTCGCAACCTACAAAGACATAAGAACCTAAAATATTTTGGAAAGTTCCTCATTTTTGTCTTTATTATGATGAAGCCTTATTAACAACTACTATTATTAAACTTCTTTCCTAACCTCTAAAAATGATTAACATGCCTGCTGAACCCTACAAAATTATATATATATATATATATATATATATATATATATATATATTTTTTTTTTTTTTTTCACAGTCTTAAATAAACTTGAGTGATGAGAGGAGAGAAAAGCATTAAATAAACAAAACGTAGGACCTTCCAAAATTAAACAGAGCAGAACAAAAAATTAATAATAAATTACCCTAAAATGGGTTTATAATAATCAACAACAATCTCTGGTCCTTGGGGGGAGTAAAAGAGACCCTGAAATATAACAAACATATGGCAGGTATCAATGTGAGATTACACACAAATAAAGTAAAGCTGTGTATAGTATAGTAATCAAAAGTGAAATTAACATTGCTTTCGACCTGTGTTAAGATTCATCATCTTACAACCTCTGTATGGGTGGGCACCCTTTAATATTTACCCAGGTTGAGGGGATTATTAAGAATTTAAGGCTTGGGAATTCTCCATATACTTTTATAAACACTTTCTGCAGTTATGTACACACTGCTGGCACACACACACCAATGTAAGGATTTACACATTTTAATATTAATACACAGAGAGCCCACACAGGAGACCCCCCCTGCCCTCATTATAAAGCGGCCCCTGGATACAACTAAAACCCACTGAGAGCCCTACAGTCATGACGTCACTGGAGGGACCAATCACAGGTCCCCACAGCCTCTCTCCCTGTGGCCCCAGGCTGCTCCCAGCCCGTTATTACGCGCTCTCATACCATGGGACCCAGGGGCCCTGACTATGGGGCCACACTGGGAGCGGCAGACCCCCTCCCCCCGCTCTCACCGTCTAGCTCACCGGCCACCAGTTCAGCTGCTCTCCGTCTGAGCCGGGAAATCGCTGACGTCAGCGCCACGTACTCACGCGTCACCAGGTTCCATGCATCCGGCGGCGCACGCCGATTACGTCACTGGCGTACACCGGAAGAGCAGGGCATTGCTCACTTGGAAACGTACACAAACCTTGGCTTGTACGTGGGCGGCTGAGTGAGTGACCATGGAAAGGGCTTGGGTCAGAAATAACTCAATTACTATAGGGGTGATGGTCACCCTGTGTGCAATATGGGGTGATGGTCACCCTGTGTGCAATATGGGGTGATGGTCACCCTGTGTGCAATATGGGGTGATGGTCACCCTGTGTGCAATATGGGGGTGATGGTCACCCTGTGTGCAATATGGGGGTGATGGTCACCCTGTGTGCAATATGGGGTGATGGTCACCCTGTGTGCAATATGGGGGTGATGGTCACCCTGTGATCTATACTGAGCTTGGTACACTCTTTATATGGATATAGGGGACAAGTCACCAAACATTAAAGGCACACTATAGGCGTCCGGGTCACATCAGCTTATTGAAGTTGTCTGGGGGCCGTGTCCCTGTCCCACTTAGTCCTGCAATGTACGACGATGCAGTTTTTTAGAAACTGCAATAATAACTTTGCAGCACTATCAGCCACCAGAGGCGCTTCCAGGATTCTAATGGATTTTAAAGGACCACTATAGTGCCAGGAAAACAAACTTGTTTCCCCCCCCACCCTCTGGGTCCCACTCCCGCCGGGCTGAAGGGGGAGGAAGGGGTTAAACACTTACCTTTCTCCAGCGCCGGGCTCCCTCAGCCCTGGGGACTCTCCTCCCTCTTCCAACGTCATCCGCTGAATGCGCATGGGCGGCAAGAGCCGTGCGCGCATTCAGTCAGTCCATAGGAAAGCATTTCTCAATGCTTTCCTATGGATGACAGCATCTTCTCACTGTGAAAACCACAGCGAGAAGCGCCTCTAGCGGCTGTCAATAAGACAGCCACTAAAGGCTGGATTAACCCTAATGTAAACATAGCAGTTTGTCTGAAACTGCTATGTTTACAGCTGCAGGGTTAACCCTAGACGGGCCTGGCACCCAGACCACTTCATTGAGCTGGGTGCCTATAGTGGTCCTTTAAGTCCATTAAACAACACTGGATGTCTTCGTACTCTGTAAAAAAGCAAAACCTTTATATTAGGAGTAGGATTTCCTGGTCATTGCAGCGCTCACCCCACAACTCCCTTGGACAGTAATAATTATTTTGTTTGTCCTGTCTACATTCCCCTTGGACACTAGATTTTAGGCTGCCATATTTTCCTTGTGAACATTTTAGTTCCTTACCCAGGGGGCATTCAGCCTCTCTCTTCTGTAAGTTGCAGTACATGTCCCCCTTAGTTGCCAGGGGCTAAGTTGCACTAATGCTGAGAGTGGCAGCATGGAACTTGTATGGCCTGGGTTTGTAGGTTCCCATGTGGCCTTTGAGAACAGTTCCAGGAATGCTTTATTGCTCTCTGTTTGTGCTTTCAACATTCTTGTTTGCTGCCATGTATTCTAGCAGGGAGTACTGGATAAAATGCGACTGATTTAATCAGTGGAATGCAATTTTTTATTTTTTTTCCATTCCTCTGTGGTGGCTGTAAGTCAGGGAAATGTTTTTATGTTGTACTTTGGTATAATCTATAGGACACCATTCTGTGCATGCGCAGAATTAGGGTTCCAATTTTGTGCACTTTCCCATGGATGTTAGGGGCACTTCGACTTTAATGAAGGTTTCTCTAATGCTTCATTTATTAACGATTGAGGTCTTTATAGTCACATAGCTTTTCAGCTCCTATAGGTTACATCATTTATAAACCCACACATTCCGTATAGCAGATTTCTCCCTTAGTTCAACAGGCACACCATTGAGAGATTGACACACCCCTTCAGGCACATCATGTCAAAGGGGATGTTTTGGCACTAGGACACCAGATTCTCTGTTTTCTATTTACAGGTTTCTAGAGGAGCCTCACCACAAATCTCAATACTATATGTAGCGGAGCTGCAATATTAAATCCCAAGATCTCCGCTGGTATAGAAGGTAATCCAAGGTAAAGCGCTGGAAAGGAAGGCAATATCCCAAATCTCCCAGTAACCGGACGAAACACAGTTCAGGGAGTCAACTGACAATTTTTATTTACGGCTACAGGAGTCAACTGACAATTTTATTCACGGCTCCAGGAGTCAACTGACAATTTTATTCACTGCTGTTAGCCTATGCATGCTCTCTATTCTAAAACACACACATACATTTTTACACCAGGTTAACACAGCTATTTCAGACAACCTTTAAATGTTCTGCAATAAGTCTTAAAGTGGCTAGGTTTGCCACACTATACCCTTTATGGTTACTACCGCCTAGGTCAGGGGTCAGCAACCTATGGCACATGTGCCATGCATGGCACTCGAGGTGCCTTTGCACATCACTCAAGGCTGCCAGAGACAAACAGGTTCTGGTAGATCAGGAGTCCCAGTGGAACTTCATATATTGCGAGTGCAATAAAAAAAATGTGAATGCAGGTACAATACTCAATCTATACATTGCAGCACTTAGAGGAAGTGATCTCATATAATTTCCTCCAAGCTCTTGTGAAAGGAAATATGTTCTGGAGTAGAGTAGCCCACATCAGTTATCACAACTTCTCCATCGCAGCTCCTTCTTTGATCTGTACCTGGTCAGCCCAGTTCCCCAATGGACACCAGGAAAGTAGTCCACACTGCTATATATATACAGAGCTGCAGAAGATGCCTCTTCCTCATACAAATAATACAAGCAGACTATACACAAACACACACAGAGTCCCTGCCTACCCCTGGCCTAGGTCATCCCTTCCACGTTATGTTTAGCGCCAGAGTGATTATACCCTCCTGCACAGGTCACCGTTGTATAGCTGGGAATAAATATTTGGATTTTATTTCTAACCCCTGCCCATTATTTCTTATCACATGATCTTTTGGGGGAGAGCACAGAAGGTGAAGGAGTACACCTATACATCCTACTTATGTGTATTTACCTGAGCCAGTGTTTGTATACAGGCTGTCACGACAGTGACCCCTTCACGCAGATAGTAACCCAGAAAGAGACGTATACCGGACCTTAGGGTGGCCGGGCTTAACGTCAGAAAATAGGCAAAGGAATAGCCAGAGGTCAAGGGAGTACAGAAAACGGAATACACGAGAAATAACCAAGCCAAAATTCGGGGAGGCAGAGAGGAGAGTAGTCAGTAAGGAAAGCCAAGGGTCAATATACCAGAAAACAGACAAATTAATCAAGAGCACTACAGGGAACAAACAAGAACCACACTAGGGCGCTGAGGGAAGGACAGGGGCACCCTTTTATAGCGAGGTGTCATTTGCTTTAAAGCCACACCCCCAAAACGTCCGGGAGCGTGGCCATGTTTGATTCTTTGCGGCAAAATCCTGATGACTTCGGCGCGCATGCGCCACATCATAAGAGGAGGCGAGCGGCCAGCACCAGACAGGCTGCGACGCCTCCCGGAAGCAGCCAGGGAGAACGCCGCGCTGCGCGGGTCCGGAGGGAAAAGGTAAGGTATCGTCACAGTACTCCCCCCTCGAGAACCGCCCCCAGGGCGGGGAGGACTCGGCCTGAGTGAACGACGCCTAGCAAACGAACGAACCAGGCGAGGAGCGTGCACATCCGAGGCATCCACCCCCAAAAGTTCCTCGGGGCCATACCCTTTCCAGTCTAAAAGATATTGGAGACGACCTCTAGAAATACGAGAGTCTAAAATAGATTTCACTTCGTATTCGTTTTGGCCTTCTATGAGTGTTGAAGGAGGTCTCGTGGGTATTCGAGTATAACGATTACAAATCAAAGGTTTTAGAAGAGAAACATGAAAGGAATTGGGTATCTTCATAGTAGCCGTTAAATCCAGGCAATAACAGACTGGATTAATGCGTTTGAGGATCTTAAAAGGACCAATAAAACGTGGAGCGAATTTCATAGAGGGGACTTTTAATCTTATATTGCGTGTACTCAACCATACTCTACCCCTTACCATAAAAATCGGAGTGGTTTTTCGTCGTTTGTCCGCTTTGCATTTTTGAGTTACAGCCTTTTGAGTCAAAATATGTTTGACCCCTAACCAAGTTTCCTTCATATTCTTAATAGTGTCGTCAACGCTTGGCACTCCCGTGGATGAAAAGGAACTCGGAAGAGTAATAGGGTCAAAGCCATAATTTATAAAAAAAAGGGACAATGTTGCGTAGATTCGTGAATCATGTTGTTATTGTGGGCAAATGCAGCCCAAGGAAGTAATTCTACCCAATCATCTTGATGATCGGAGGTGAAGCAGCAAATGTATTGTTCGAGTGATTGATTGATTGATTCATCCTTTCTGTAACCCCGTTAGATTGGGGATAGTACGAAGAAGATAGATTAAGTTTGATACCCAATTGATTACAAAATGCTTTCCAGAACCTGGAAATAAATTGCGGACCTCTGTCTGAAACTATATCCACGGGTATACCGTGCAAACGAACCACCTCCCTTATAAACACCGTGGCCAGTTCGGAGGACAAAGGCAATTTAATTAAAGGGACAAGATGGGTCATCTTAGAAAATCTGTCTATTATAGTCAGGATTATCCGGTGATTTTTGGAAAGGGGTAGGTCCACTACGAAATCCATGGCGATACTCGAGCAGGGCTTATCGGGAATAGGCAACGGCATGAGGAGACCTAAAGGACGACCCTTAGGAGATTTATTAGAGGAACAGATGTTAAAGGTTAAAACAAATTCTTGAACATCTTTCTTGTATGAGGGCCACCAGAATTGTTTTTCAAGTAAAGATTCAGTCTTATGGATACCGGGATGACCGGCAACCTTAGAGTCGTGTACCAAGGACAGGATTTGTCTCCTATAATTTAAAGGTACGTATAATTTTCCCTGAGGGATAGTCAAAGAGTTATGATCCTGGCATTTGGATAATACCTCCATTAAACTAGAAGAGACCTTAGCATGAACTGTGGCTACTATGTGAGAGGTAGAGATTATGGAGGATAAATGGGTTACAGGGGGAGATAGATGTTCATGTTGTCGGCATAGGGCATCCGCTTTAGTATTCTTAGATCCGGGTCTATACGTCACAATGTAGTTAAAGCGTGTTAAAAACAAAGACCAACGAATCTGCCTGTCAGACATTCTTTCCGCCTCTCCGAAATAGGAAAGGTTTTTATGGTCAGTAAGAATGGTGATCGGTTCAGGTGACCCCTCTAATAGATGACGCCATTCCTTGAGAGCTGAAATAATAGCTGATAGTTCCCTATCTCCTATATCATATCTTCTTTCCGTTTCAATCAATTTTTTTTGAGAAAAAAACCACAGGGATGTAGGGGTTGATCATTCGAGGGTTGATGCAGCCCCTATCCCTGTCTCTGAGGCATCTACCTCTAATAGAAAGGGACACAAAGGATTAGGATGTCTTAATACTGGTGCTGAAGAAAAAGCTATCTTTAATTTCTCAAAGCTTCCTTAGCTTTGGGACTCCACACCATATGATTCCTATTCTTTTTTGTCATGGCAGTAATAGGAGCGTTAATAGAGGAAAACCCTTTGATAAATTTTCTATAATAATTAGCAAATCCCAGGAAACGTGGGATGGCCTTAAGTCCAACGGGTAGGGGCCAGTTTAAGATTGCTTCCAGTTTTTTGGGTTCCATTTGAAAATCCGAACCTGAAATTATATAACCTAGGAAATTAACCTTTTCCACGTCAAACAGACACTTTTCTAATTTACAATAGAGTCCGTTCTTCAATAATTTAGATAGGACCAACCTGACGTGTCTATGGTGTTCCTTAATACTCTTAGAGTAGATTAGTATGTCATCTAAATAAACAACAACAAACATTTGTAGATAATCTCTTAACCCCTTTAGACTGGAGGGCGTACAATTACGCCCTATTATAGGTGGCTCTAAACGCCGCCGGCGTAATTGTACGCCCTCCGGTTTTTGCCTACTTACCACGTCCGTCCTCGTCGAAGCCCCCCGGCCATGTGAGAGTGGGGTCCTAGCGAGGACCCCACAATCACATGGCCGGGGATAGCTGGCTTCTGTATTGCGAGCAGGGGGCTGCCTGTAATTACAGGTGGTCCCCCTGCTGGCTGGAAATAAAATGAAATGTATTAGTGTAAAAAAAAAAATATATATATACTTAGATCATATATATATATTATATATATTATATATATATGATCTAAGTATATATACACACATATACATACACACACGTACACCGTCTAGGTGTATTTTACTATTAATATACATATAATTATATATATATATATATTAATATCAAATTACACGTAGACTGATACTGGTTAAATATATATATAATTATTGTTATATATATATTTATATATAATATAAAAAAATTAAATATGTAAATACGTTAAAAAATAAAATTAAAAAAATAATTTAAAAATATATAGATGTGTGTTATTTCATTCTAACTGTATTGTGATATTAATATATATATATATATATATTTATATCAAAATACACGTAGAACGAAATAATATATATATCTACATACATAAATATATACGTATATATCACTATATATATACCAATATATAAATAAAAATATTTTAAAAAAATTATATAGATATACACATATAGATTCACATATGTATATATATACATATATTAATTCTACATATATATATGTAATATTTTTACATAATTAGGTATCTTAATTAATTACAATTAGTGGGACCTGCATGACAACCCATGCCGAAAGTAAAGGGAATTTAATTGGCTAGCACTATATTTAACCCTATAACTTTCCAAGACACCATAAAACCTGTACATGGGGGGTACTGTTCTACTCGGGAGACTTCGCTGAACACAAATATTAGTGTTTCAAAACAGTAAAATGTATTACAACGATGATATCGCCAGTAAAAGTGAGCATTTTTCACGCACAAACAGCATTACACGGACAATATTATTGCTGTGATACTTTTACTGTTTTGAAACACAAATATTTGTGTTCAGCGAAGTCTCCCGAGTACAACAGTACCCCTCATGTACAGGTTTTATGGTGTTTTCAAAAGTTACAGCGTCAAATATAAGGCTTGCGTTTCATTTTTTTCACATTAAAATTTGCCAGATTGGTTACGGTGCCTTTGAGACACTATGGTAGCCCGAGAATGAAAATTACCCCTATGATGGCATACCATTTGCAATAGTAGACAACCCAAGGTATTGCAAACGGGGTATGTCCAGTCTTTTTTAGTAGCCACTTAGTCACAAACACTGGCCAAAATTGGCGTTTTTTGCATTTTTCACACAAACAAATACTAACGCTAACTTTGGCCAGTGTTTGTGACCAAATGGCTACTAAAAAAGACTGGACATACCCCATTTGCAATACCTTGGGTTGTCTACTATTGCAAATGGTATGCCATTATGGGTGTAAATTTCATTCCTGGCTACTATAACGTCCCAAAGGCAACGTAACCTACCTGGCGAATTTCAATTTCAAATGTAACGTGCTATATTTAACCCTGTAACTTCTCAAAACGCCATAAAACCTGTACATAGGGGGTACTGTTTTACACGTGAGACTTTGCTGAATCAAAATATGTGTATTTTATTGCAGTAAAAGCAAACAGTATTATGACATTGACAGTTAAAATGTCATGTAGAACAAAAAAAATAAAAAAAATCTTATTTTCTCCCATTTTTTTTCATATTAAATTATGTGTCACATCTAAATATTTGATATTAAATGAAAGCCCTGTTTCCCCTGAATAAAATGATACGTAATAAGGGTGGGTGCATTTACTATGAAATAGGTGAATTACGGTTGGACAGACATGTAGCGCAAATGCCAGGTTTTGTTTACATTTTGTTTCGTTCACAACGTGTACATTTGGCTCCGTCCTTAAGGGGTTAATACATCGTTTATAAAATCTTGAAAGACTGCAGGGGCGTTGCATAGGCCAAAGGCATAACCCTGTATTGATAATGGCCATAGCAAGTATTGAAATCAGTCTTCCACTCATGTCCATTCTTGATTCTAACTAAATTGTATGCTCTCCGTAAATCCAACTTAGTGAATATGGTTGCTCCCTTCAATCTGTCGAAAAGCTCGGTTATTAGAGGTATAGGATAAGCGTTTTGTATGGTTATTTTGTTTAAACCCCGATAGTCAATACAAGGTATCAAGTCTCCCTCCTTTTTAGAAACAAAGGAAAAAATGGCCCCAGCCGGGGAGGAAGACTTAGTAATAAAACCCTTTTTTAAGTTCTCTGTGATGTACTCTTCAAGTACTTTATTTTCAGTCACAGAGATGCCCCCCTAGGGGGCATAGTACCGGGTAATAGGTCAATAGTGCAGTCGTATGAACAATGGGGTGGTAACTTTTCTGCCTCCCTTGGTTCAAAGACCGCCTTGAGATCCCAATATTGTTTGGGTATTCGGGTGGTTAAGGGTTGCAAAGTAGGAACATTAAGTAGACCTACTGGTTTGACTTGAATAATACACTCTTTAAAACAAAATTCGCCCCATTTTACGATCTCTTTTCTCTCCCAGTCTATTAAAGGATTGTGCTTGGTGAGCCAAGGAAACCCAAGTATAACAGGAAAGGTGGGAGAAGTTATTTGCTGTAGAGTTATAATTTCTTGATGCAATGAACCTACAGTCAAGACTAAGGGATTAGTTTCCTGAGTAATAAAAGGAATTGACAGTTGTCTACCATCTATGGCCTTAACGGCCAAGGGTGTTGATCTTTCTTGGAATGGGAGATCGTGATGCTGACCGAATTTGCGATCAACAAAATTCTCGGCTGCCCCAGAATCTATTAACGCAATGGTTGTTACTTTCCTTCCCATTCGATAGTTATAGGTAGAAGAAGCCTGAGATCTTTCTTGTCATTGAAGGAGGACATACAGATTACACCCAAGGCCTGTCCTCCTAGAGGGCTTAGATGCTGGAGTTTTCCGGCCTACTTGGACAGTGTAAGCAGGAATGCCGTCTTTTCCCACAATACATACAAAGTCCCTCCCTTCGTCTATATAATCTCTCTGGTTCAGGTAACTGCGTGGTTCCCAATTGCATGGGTTCTGCGGGAGTGACAGCGGTTGCCTCAGACGAAGCGTCATAAGAGGAGGCGTGCCGCGAGCAGCCAGCGCCAGACAGGCTGCGCCGCCTCCCTGAAGCAGCCAGGGAGAATGCCGTGCTGCGCGGGTCCGCAGGGAAAAGGTAAGGTATCCTCACACAGGCTCATAAAAATGTGAGTAGGATGCATCTTTCCTTTTAACATTTTAGACACAGTGTAGACATTATACAGGCTATAATGCCCTATGTGAGCCTTTTTATTTTACAGAAAATTCCCTCTGGGAAAAGACTATTTTAAGTGTATGTACTATATCTCACTACTGCACTTTTGAGATCACTGTGCACTTTATTCTTGTTATTAGTTCACAGAGCGCTAACCTCCATTTTTTGCTTTGTTCTATATGTTTCTTGTGGAATTAAGTGGTTGATTTCACGGGGGGGTTTTAGCAGCACTATTTCAATACTACAAGCGCCAATTTACCACTTACTTCCTATATACCGTATTATAGCTATCTCATCCAAACACTAGCCGAGACTTAGTGAAGGGTAAATTAGAACTGGTTTATTAAGGCAAGGAACACTGACTTTATACACAGACCCACAGCATGGGTTCTCTATTAAGTAACAAAAGCCTGCCCAGGCGTCTCTGTTTCTGGTAGATAATTGTGTCAGCTCTAGGTTAAATTCATTAACTCCTGGACACAGAAAGCCGAACATACAAAACCTCCAAAAATACACATAATAGACACCTCCACATGCCATACATCCCCAGAAAGGTCTCTCTGGAGAACCAAATCTGTTCAAAAATTTCCCGGATTGAAAATGGCTAGCCTGAATTAGGTTGAAGTCCAAAGTTAAACATGACGCGGCTAGCCTCTGATCCGGTGCAGAGTTATAGAGTGCTGGGTAGAGTTTCCCGGTCACCTTAAAACATAGTGCTTTCTGCGAATAGAAGGAGCTCCCCCAAGTCCTAGGTGTCATTCGATGCCTCTCCACCTCCTTTGTTAACCCTCCAAAAAGTGCTCTAAATTATGGTCCAGGGACAGAGAACGCTCTGTTAAATTAGATATTAATTTTAGTCGCTGCAATCCGATTTTTGTTCCAGGGGAGTTCAAGGTAGTTCTCTGCCAAGCGCACCGTACATCAGTGGTGGACAACTGGTTATTCTGAGTCGGCAAGAGAGTAACGCTGGGCTTGGGGCCACAGGCTGGAGGGTTAGTTAATAGTGATGTAAGTTTTTTGAAAGGAGGTGGAATGTTGGGGAGTCCTGTAACCTAGCGAGGTGACCAAGTGGCTCGTCACACCCTAGAAATAAATTCAAGGGATGGTACTGCGGGTTGCAGCACAACCCTTTTGATAATGTATATCTGTTGTGCTGCGGTGCTCTGTTTTTACATAGCTGAGCAATGGAACCGCACCCCCTTTGAACTGTAGTTTGGTTTGGAGTACTGCCATTTATTCATATGGGTGGACTCATGCCTGGCGATGACACCCCACTACGTTGTTCTGTTCGGATGTGATAGGTTGGTGACCCAAGTAGGAGGGAATTGAATCCCCTTTTGAATCTGCACTTTTACCTCAGTCTCTGTTTATCCCCTGACAAAGATGCATTGATGCAAAGGTGCATTGACGCACCAAAACATGCGTTGGGTTGTTTATTTTATTTTACCTCACTTTTGCACAAGTGACACTTCACTATGGATATTTAGTTTGGCAGTAGTGTAATCTGATGTAGCAATAGTTTAGGACTAAATGTTAGTAGGTTGCTGTCAATACACCAACCAAGATACTTTGGCTTCTTGTATCTTTTGAACCAGTGGATTTTTGCAGTCTATATATCCTTTCCTACATATAGATTAGTATTAACTTGCTCTATATTTTGCAACAACCGAGGTATTCTGTTTTATTATTTTCATTGAGGGAACGTTCCATTTCTTTAGGAGTATATATATTTATTGACATTGGTTTAAGATGTCTTTCCTGTACCACACAGCTCCTTACCCTTTGAGGACTGTGGGAGACATTTTGTTCATCTTCATCCTATCTCTCTATGCTAGTCTGTTTATAACCCCAGATGTGTGGAGATTTATTTAATCATCTCTCTGACCATTTAGATGACTCAGATTTACTTGACTTGTCTGTAGTTATATTAGACATCCCTATATTGATATCATTTGTCTTGCAGATGATCTTGATGGTGTTTTCCAAGGATTGAGGGGAATTACAAATCTCCACTTCTACTTTCTATTTACACTTAGTGTATCAATTGTTCTATATATATAATTCCCTCTAGTGTTACCTATTGCAACATTTGGTTTTGACACAGTGTATATTAGGCACAGCACAACAAAGCCTGCTTTGTACACAGGAACAGACTGTTTCTTTTGCTACAATATACACACTATTCTCTAGTCCTTTTAAGGAGTCCTATTCATACTGTGATATTTATTTACCAGTTAAGAAGAGTTTTATGGGTCCCTTTTCCTCTTCTTTTATAATTGTTACGGGCACATCATTAGCATCTGTTTCAGCTCCTTTCAGCAGCATTCCTCTGGCTGACTAAACGTTATATATATATATATACACATACATACACACACACACACTCTCTCTCTCTCTCTCTTTCTGTCAGTGCAGCAGGGATATTTGTACTGCTTGGCACATTCTTGTTCTTTTTTGGGGGAGTTATTTGTATTTTGGCTGTAAGTCTGACCTTCTGGTTGATCAGATCTAATTAGGTGAATTCAGTTTTTTTAGCCTTTGTTGAGTTGCTGTTGGTTTTGTGTGTACGGTGTACCAATTTTCAGTGATTGGTATATTTTAATGCAGTTTTCATATTTTTTTTTTTTTTCTGGGAGTTTTTTTTTTTTAACAGAGTTTCTGTTATCCAAAAATATATTGGTTTAGATAGGTTTTCTACAGGATATTTCTGTTTTTTTACTGTATATTAAGCTCTTGGTTAGAGGATTATTGGTGTAGCGGACCTCTGCTAAACTCTCCTCTCAGCCAGAAATGGAAGCTTCAGTAAATATAACTCTTCTCCCAGTAACTAGATGACACATAGTCCTATGTGTATATCTGATTTTATTGTTCTGAATGCATCCTTATATGCATTGACCCCCAGCATGGGGTCTCCATTCATTACATACAGATCCTGCCCAGGTGCCTTTGTGTCTGGGAGATAATTGATTCAAGGCAAACTAAATTAATTATCTCCTGAAATCACATAAAAACCGTTAGGAACCCCCATAAATCTTATATTCCCTGATAGCTCTGAAGGGAGAACAAAATGTGGCCAAAAAGCGCCCTGATCCATGTAGGTTTGTGTAAATGCTAACCCTTTAAAGTTATGGATATTTGCCGGTTCTTTAACAGGGTATCTCTGGTCAGTCGGGTAAGGGTGCCCCCTCCTTGGTAACGATTGTCCCTCCTGAGGTATTGTAACTTCCCTCCAAAGAGTGCTCTCATTAGGCATTGAGAAAGGGGTGAACACCAGGGTGCAAGTTGACCGGGACAAGGTGATACTTGTGGCTGAGCTGGAGTTACAGGGCAACAACAGATAAGTCCCGCTGATGCGTTTGGTATACTACAGCTTGGGAGATGAGCTGGGAACTGGGGCAGAGAGAGGCTCATGCTGAATTCCTGTGAAGGGGAGGAGGGACAGAGGACCAGGGTAGTGTTATAGTTTTTAGTGTAGTTTTGGTGGTATTCGCCACAATTGGCTGTTTTGTTTTTAGCTTATTGGTCCCCTTATGACTTCTTCAGTTTGGTCAAAATATAGGTCGCACTCAAGAGGTACAAGGGAAGCCATGGATGTTTTAAGTTGGTTCTTTTAAACATTTAAAAAGGATGCTTTGGATTTAATTCTTTTAATTATTATTTTTTTTTTTATGTTTATGTTTCAGCTCCCTAAGATCACCTTAGAGGCCTCAGTTGTAACCATGGAGAGAAAAGACCCAGAAGCAATACAGACCACATAGTTGGGAAAGGTCGGTGAAATCCAATAAAATGAACTTTAAAATAGGATTTTACAGTAAACTTTCTGTTAAAAGAAGTTATTTTGTCATCTGAGGAGGAAGATCATTCTATATTAGTCTTTGATGAAAGAAAAAGAAAAGCTTTGATCAAGGCTTTGAGGAAAACCATCAACATAAAAAAAAGGCTGCAGAAGAACCAGTAAGCATTTTTTTGCTAGCTTAAGGAAAAAGTATTCTCTTCTCCATGAGAGTCTTTTCTTCTCCGTGAGACTATCAGAGACTTGATTCAAGAAGAATGGAAGAAGGTGGGGAATAAGGGTGTCAATCAAGGGCAGAATGACTAGATTTTACACTTTTAAGAAGGCAGACTCAGAAGTTTGGTGCTCCACTCATAAAGTAAAGTCAGTTGCCATGCTAATTAATCTTTTGGTAGTTGATGCCAGATCTCTTAAAGAGTCGATGAAGAGAAGGATGAATAGTAACCTTTCCAAATTCCAAGAAAGTCATTGAGTGTAGAAAGGTTCTTCTTCCAAATGATAAGTATTGAAGAAGAAATTCAGGTTCGGAAAGAAGATCATTCCGTGATTCTAGGTAATATTGGCCAGGGATGTTGGTTTTTTTTCTGCACCAATCCTGGAAGTTCAACCAGTCACCAGCAAAAGGAGGAAGAGAAAAAAAAAGCAGCATTTCCAGACAAGGTCAAATATTCTGCTGCTGGGAGCCAATTTATAAATAAAAAGAAGAAAATCCAGTGCACACCTTATCCACTAAACAGCAACTTCGGTGCTGACAGATTTAGCTAAATAGGGCCCTGGGATGAGACACCTGTGACAGGGAGGGGTGCAAACCCAAGGAGTTGGCAGCCATCCCTCTGTTTTCTCATATATATATTTGGAAGTCTAACCAACTCCTTGGTTTTGCACCCCTCCCTGTCGCAGGTGCCTCATCCCTGGGCCCTATTTAGCCTTGTACTGCAGAGAACTCCAGATGGAATTTTTTTCCCTAAGTAAGTAGCTCATGAAGCAAACATTAGGCTGTTAGAGTAGGACCTGCCAAAGATGGGGTACATTGATGTTGTGGCAGGCTTATGCAATGTATGATCATTAATTGTAACTAAACCCCCATTAGTTTTGCCTAGATTAGGTGTTTTTAAAGAAAACTAATAAAATCTGTCAGCCTGTCAACCGAAGTTGCTGTTTAGTGGATAAGGGAGTGCACTGGATTTTTTTTTTAAGGTAAAATATTCTGACTGACGGTATCCCTAATTTCCGGAGGTAGGGGCATGTTTGCTTCTATTCAGGGAGATTTAAGATCAATCAATGCCTTTGGGTCAGAAGCATTGTCAAGAAAAGCTACCTCCTGGAATTCAAAGTTGCACCACCTCCAAACAGGTTCTTTAGTTCCAACTTTCCAGAGGATCCAATGAAAAGAAAGGCTCTTCTGGAATTCATGGAGTCCCTGCAAGATCATAATGTCATTATACCTGTTCCTAAATAAAAAAAGTTAGGCCCAAGCACTCAGGCTTGCTCTAGGAAGGCAGGTATATTATAACAAAAACTGCAACGTTTTGGCCTACACAGAGACATTTATCAAGCTTGTAAAAGAAAAAAAGCTTGATAAAGGCCTCTGTTTAGGCTGAAACTTTGCAGTTTTTGTTACAATAAACCCGCCTTCCTGCAGCAATCCTCAGTGCCTAGATCTAATTTTATTTATCTACTAAACTGGATATTGCCAACCTAAGTGTGAGTGCAGTATCCTCCATTTGTGAATTATCATACCTGTTCCTGACCGAGAGTACAGTCAAGGTTCTATTCCTGTACTTTTCTTGCTCTGAAAGGTCCAGACAATTGGAGACCTATTTTGGACCTATTTTGGATCATAAGAGGTGTGGAGCTGGACAATAGTGGTCTTGTGAGATGTGTTCCCGGAAGGTAATGCTCACAGAGACAGGAGACGTATTTGTAATATTGTTAAATTACCACCAGTGGCGTACATACTGGGGTCGCACGGGTCGCGGCTGCGACCGGGCCCGGCCCACCACCCGGTATGTACCCACTGTGGCTAGCGTCTTCTCCTGGGGGGTCCAGGGGCTGGCCACCTCAGGGCCCCCAGAGGCTGGCCATGGTACCACCGGGCGGGCGCGCGCGCAAGGGAGCACTCTCCCCTGAGTGCTTCCTCTTCAGCTCCCTCGCGCGAGGGAGTTGAAGAGAAAGCACTCAGCCAGGGAGAGTGCTCCCTCACGCACCTGCCAGCCTTCCCGCCCGCCCGGTGACACCACTGGACCCCAGGGAATCCCCTCAGCACTCCCACAGGTAAGGAGGCTGGGGGGATTAATTTTTTTTTTAAAGTGTGTGTTAGTGTGTGTGTGTGTTTTAGAGTGTGTGTGTGTTAGTGTTAGTGTGTGTGTGTTAGTGTGTGTGTCTTAGAGTGTGTGTGTGTTAGTGTGTGTGTGTTAGTGTTAGAGTCATAGGCGTGCACACGGGGTGTGCCGTCTGGGCCTGGGCACATTCTAATCCCCGCGGCACGCCTGTGAGTCCTGCATCCAAACAGCACCCTTACAAACACAGCACCCTCACACAGCGCACTAACAGCACACACACACACACACATAAACAACAGTGTGTGTGTGTGTGTGTGTGTGTGTGTGTATGTATGTATATATATATATATATATATATAAACAAAAGAAAAGAGATGCACTCCAAGGACTTAATAAGTGAAAAAAAGGACCCGAATTGGTCGAAACGTCGGCTAATTTTTGATGCAATACCTATCGAAAAAAAATTACCCCCTTTTTTCACTTAAGTCCTTGGAGTGCATCTCTTTTCTTTTGTTTATATATCTTCAATGCGGGATTGCACCTAGGCTAAATTGGATTATTTACACGAAAGGGTGAGTGCCAAGAAACTTTTTTTTATATATATATATATATATATATATATATAACAAAAATAGAAAAGTCCTTGCACTCACGCTTGGATGATATGGTAACCGGGTGCTTGTAATCCAGGAAAATTTAAATAAATTCAAATAGTGATCAGCACTCTCGGATTTTCAAGAATTAAAAATTATTTATTGAGTATCCATTAAAAGATCAACGTTTCAGTGCCAGGTAAAAAGCAGAAATGCGAAATGCGTTTATGGTTATTATATTGTGTATTTTTATATATTAAAGTATATTTGGTTACTTTTAATTTTACCACTTATCTTTTAATACACGCTAATCTGCTTTTTACCTGGCATCCTTTTATCACACTGGACTCCAAGTAATCCTAGGTGGGGATCATACCACCAGCGCTAATAACAAGGAGCAGTTGATCTGCTCCTATCTTGTGAGTACCCATTTTATTTTAATTATTTTATCTTAAGTATTTTACCCAGTGAACACTATTGGCTGTTTCTTTCTACCCAAGTGCTGATCATATCACGGACGGAGGAAATTTACTTCATATCCCATAAGCGGGGATCAAACCGCTGTACGCCTTTCATACCAGAGCGGGTCTTAGCTCTTTTAAATGTGAGTTTGTATTCCAGATTTTTATACTTTTATCTTCTCAACTATCAAACATACTACACTATTTGGCTCTCTATTTATTTTTTATCTTTTGCATATGAGCGGATCCATAAGGAAGAAAACAATAAGGACAATTGTTCTGGACCAAGTATTGCCAAACACTACGACTTCAATAGACGTTTCTAGATAAGACTTTCTCTTTTTATTTATTTATCTTATCCGGACTATTCGTTTTATACCCAGTTTTACTTGGCGCAGCCCTTATTTTTATTCTTTCTCTCTCATATCTACAAATGCTCGCAGTTTAGGGAATAAGATCCATGAACTTGTGGCAATAATGGAAACTGACAATGCAGATTTAGTCACTGTTACTGAGACATGGTATAATGAGAAAAATGACTGGGACATAGCAATAGCAGGGTACTCTTTATATAGAAAAGACAGGGAAGGCAAGAAAGGGGGAGGGGTGGCCCTGTATGTTAAGGATAGCATATAATCCAGCCTAATAAAAGTTAGTGAGGCGAACATAGAGTCCGTTTGGGTTACGTAAGAATTTGGTGATCATACAGTAACTCTTGTAGAAATGATTTATAGGCCCCCAGGACAAATAGAAGAGTTAGATAATATACTAGTTGAGGAAATAGCTAAAATGACAATGAAGGGGGAAGTTATTATCATGGGTGACTTTAATCTTCCTGATGTGAACTGGAAAACCAAAATAGCTGCTTGTGCCATGAGCACACATATTCTAAGCTCCCTACTGGGATTGTCTCTAATACAAGTCATTGAGGAGCCAACTCGTAAAGAGGCCATACTAGATTTAGTGTTAACAAATGGAGATTTGGTATCAGATATTACTGTAGGTGAAAGTTTAGGATCCCGTGATAATCAGTCAGTGTGGTTTAATATAAGAACAGTGACTTTAAAAAAACAGACTTTTCTAAAATTAGAATATGTGTAGAGGAGTCATTATCAGACGGAAGCAATTTAAATGGAGTCCAAGAGAAGTTGGATTATTTAAAAGTTGCACTGCAGAAGGCAACAGAAAATTGCATTAGGCTTGTCAGTAAAAGCAAAAAATTCAAGAAACGACTGTAGTACTCTGCAGATGTGGCCAAAATAGTTAAAAACAAAAAGTTAACATTTAGTAATTATAAAAAAAAAAACAGAGTGAGGAAGATACACAGATCCATAAGATTAGACAGAAAGAGACTAAGCAAGTTATACGAGCCTCCAAATCACACACAGAGGAGAAAATAGCACAGACAGTTAAAAAAAAAAAAAGGGGGACAAAACATTTTTTAGATACATAAATGACAAACGGAAAGTAAAACAAGGATTAGTTAGATTAAAAACAAAAGAAGGAAGGTATGTAGAAGAGGATAAAGGTCTTGCTGACTGCCTCAATGAATTTTTTTGTTCAGTATTTACAGATGAAAATGAAGGAAAGGGACCTCAGTTAGGAAAAAGGACAAATGAGTCATTTGTTACATGTGAGTTTACAGAGGAAGAGGTTATATTTCAACTGTCAAAAGTAAATACAAATAAGTCAATGGGACCTGATGGAATACACCCAAAGTTATTAAAATAGCTTAGTGGTGTACTAGCAAAACAATTAACAGATTTATTTAACCAATCATTGTTAACAGTAGTCCCAGAAGATTGGAAGTTAGCGAATGCTGTGCCCATTCACAAGAAAGGCAGTACGGAGGAGTCGGGCATCTATAGGCCAGTAAGCCTTACTTCAGTAGTGGGGGAAATTAATGGAAACCATCTTAAAGGAAAGGCTTGCTGAACATCTAAAATCACATGGATTTCAAGATCAGAGACAACATGGGTTTACTGCAGGGAGATCATGCCATACTAATCGTATTGATTTTTTTGATTGGGTAATAGATCAGGGTGGTGCAGTAGACATTGCTTACCTTGATTTCAGTAAGGTTTTTTACACTGTTGCACATAGAAAGCTTATCAATAAACTGCAATCTTTAAGTTTGGATTCCAATATTGTAGAATGAGTAAGGCAGTGGCTGAGTGACAGGCAACATAGGGTTGTAGTCAATGGGCTTTTCACCAGTGGTGTAACGCAGGGATCTGTACTTGGACCCATTCTCTTTAATATTTTTATTAGTGATATTGCAGAAGGTCTTGATGGTAAGGTATGTCTTTTTGCTGATGATACTAAGATATGTAACAGGGTTGATGTTCCAGGAGGGATAAGCCAAAAGGAAAATGATTTAGGTAAACTAGAAAAATGGTCAGATTTGTGGCAACTGACATTTAATGTGGAGAAGTGCAAGATAATGCATCTTGGACGTAAAAACCCAAGGGCAGCGTACAGAATATTTGATAGAGTCCTAACCTCAACATCTGAGGAAAATGATTTAGGGGTGATTATTTCTGATGACTTAAAGGTAGGCAGACAATGTAATAGAGCAGCAGGAAATGCTAGCAGAATGCTTGGTTGTATAGGGAGAGGTATTAGCAGTAGAAAGAGGGAAGTGCTCATGCCATTGTACAGAACACTGGTGAGACCTCACTTGGAGTATTGTACGCAGCACTGGAGACCGCATCTCCAGAAGGATATTGATACTCAAGAGAGAGTTCAGAGAAGGGCTACTAAACTGGTTCATGGATTGCAGGATAAAACAAGGAAAGGTTAAAGGAACTTCACATGTATAGCTTGGAGGAAAGATGAGACAGGGGGGATATGATAGAAACATTTAAATACATAAACGGAATCAACACAGTAAAGGAGGAGACTATATTTAAAAGAAGAAAAACTACCACAACAAGAGGACATAGTCTTAAATTAGAGGGGCAAAGGTTTAGAAATAATATCAGGAAGTATTACTTTACTGAGAGGGTAGCCTTCCAGCTGAAGTGATAGAGGTTAACACAGTAAAGGAGTTTAAGCATGCGTGGGATAGGCATAAGGCTATCCTAACTATAAGATAAGGCCAGGGACTAATGAAAATATTTAGAAAATTGGGCAGACTAAATGGGACGAATGGTTCTTCTCGGCCGTCACATTCTATGTTTCTATTGAGAAAAAAATTTGAGAAGGAAAATTAGAGGTAAAAGGAAAGCAAAGGGGGGACATATCCACTAAGAGGTTACTTCACTATATAATCTACTCTAAAAAATAAGCTGTGACATGGAGGATAGAATGCGAAGGAAGAGTCTAAGGGTTCAAGTCATAAATGAAAATATAGAACCCCACAAAATAACAGAATTTCTGCTATATCTCTTTCAAGATATGGGAATTCAAGAAGCAGCGAAAGAAGATACAATTGATTGTGCACATAGAACATCAAAGCCTAAGGGTATTCCAGAAGCTGGCTCTAGATACATAATTATCCAGTTTTCTTCGTACTACAGTCGTCAGAAGATTCTCCATACCTCAGGAAATTATATATTAAAGAAGAAAAATTTAAGACTTTAGCTTTCTATCAAGATCTATCTAACAATACAAGAAGGAAAATATCCACATTCAGAGAAATTAATGCAACTCTCAGATTTAGGAATATTAAATATATTTGGGGCTTTCCTACTTAAATAATCTTATGGCACGAAGAACAATGCCACAGTATACTGTCAGCGGAAGATGGTCATAAATGGTTAGAACTAAATCCTGTAAAATAGGAAGATATTAAGAGTTAGAGATGAAGACGAAGAAATGAAGAAGGAAGAGGGATTCATGAAGCCACATAAGGATCACAATTCTATGTCTCTATAAGAATCTATGAGCCATAAAGTGATCATGTATTAGCCACAGCATTTAAATGAATATAATAGGATAAATGTTTGAAATATTATAGAGACAGAGAAAAATGTATAGGTGTAAAGGATAATAGGCACTATTATAGTGAATACTATCTTATAATGTGGTTATTATTATTTTAAGTGTTTATATTTTTGGGGGGTTATTAGGACACAAGTCCATTTATACACTACTTAATATGTATATAGATGGGTCGCATAAAGTCACAAGTTGACGTTACTAAAGTGAGAAATATGATATATTTAAATGATCACATAATCATGTGTTTTCTTAAAAAGGTTTGATACATGACTATAATAGCGAGTACAAGATGAAAAGAAAAGGGAAATAATGAATAATATAATAAAATGTGGATTATTATTTTAGTGATTATCTTTTTGGGGGTTATTAGGATATAAGCTAATTTATACTATACACTATGTATATAGATGTCCCCACCACATAAAGTCACAATTTGATGTTATAAAAGTGTGTAGTAAGATATATTTAAATGATCACATTACCACATGTTTTTTTTTTATTTGATAAATAAAATAGGGAATACATAATAAACCCTAATGAGAGGTGTAGTCACAGGGGCTAATAACCTCTATGATGTAAAAGTTCATATTATTCTAGAGCTATTAAAACAGAAGTTAATTTATTGTTTACAATGAATATAAATGGATGATATAAAATCATTGAAGGAAACTTCACAATAAAAATGAGGGAAGTATGATATATTTAAAGGATTGGATGATCACGAGTTCCTCTTTTAAAATAAAGGGAAAAGGGGAGAAGGTAGAAGGAGAAGAAAGGGTAAAAGGGGCTTTTTAAATGAATATAATAGAGAGTACAATATATATGAGACGCAATATGTCTTTTAGTCTCTTACGTCCTGCCAAAACCCCCTTTTGAATAATAACTAGGGTATTATAGTATTATAATGATATAACATCTAATTATGTCAAGTATCTTTAAGCGTATTTTTTTTAAAACATAATTTGATACTTTCAGGATACACAGGTTAATATTCAAACTTAATTTAAATTTCTAACTTCTAACCTCTAATTCTAACTCTAATTATCTAATATAGATTAAATAAGATAAATGTAGACAGGTCTGCACCATAGATACAGTGTTTTTCTTATTAAAGCGGCACTGTCATGCCGAACTTACCTTTCCTCAATCTCTTCCTCTTCCCCCCCTCTCTCAGGAACTGTTCTTCTTTTCTTCCTGTCTTCTTTAGTTTTCTTTAAAAGCATAAGACAAAGTAGGGACTCTTTGCCTTATGGAGGTTTCCTCCGCTTGACCAGCTTTGACCAGCGGAGGAGCAAAGTGTGCTTCATTTCCGCTGGTCAGAGCAATTTTCCCATAATTCTTACCTTTCCTCTGTGATCTCTCGATGCTTCCTGTCATTTTAGACGAAACTGCCGAATTGCGTTCTAACTGAATGAGAACAGTATGTTTGTTTCTTTTAGAACTCAATTCGGCACTTTGTTCGTATCGGAATTTCATTCGAATGAATGAACGATTCCCACGGTATTAGGGAGTTATCTTCCAAAAGGCTGAAAGACCTAAACTGGTCTTTCAGCCACATTTACTAATACTAAGTAAAGATTACTTAGTATTAATAAATGATCTGCTCCTACTCGCTATACTGCGTAAAATAAAAAAGAAAAAAAATAAACCTATTGGCTCCACCCCTGAGCGGTGGGTGGGGGCCAAAATGAACAATCGGGGGGGGGGACCTACTGTCCTCCCCCCCCTGGCCCCCACCCTGGAGTGGTGGGTGGGGGCCATAAAGATAATGAGGGGGGGGACCTACAGTCCTACCCCCACCGGCCCCCACCCCTGCGTGTGGGTGGGGGCCATAAATTACAATGGGGGGGACCTACTGTCCTCCCCCCCGGCCCCCACCCCTGCGCAGTGGGAGGGGTCCATAAATTACAATGGGAGGGACCTACTGTCCTCCCCCATCCCTGGGCGGTGGGTGGGGGCCATAAAGATAATGAGGGGAGGGGACCTACTGTCCTCCCCCCACTGGCCCCCACCCCCGCGCGGTTGGGGGGGCCATAAATTACAATGGGGGGACCTACTGTCCAACACCCCCAGCCCCCACCCTTGAGCGGTGGGTGGGGGCCATAAAGATAATGAGGGGAGGGGATCTACTGTCCTCCCCCCACCGGCCCCCACCCCTGCGCGGTTGGGGGGGCCATTACAATGGGGGGGACCTACTGTCCTTCCCCCCGGCCCCTACCCTGCGCGGTGGGAGGGGGCCAGAAATTACAATGAGGGGGAACCTACTGTCCTCCCCCACCCCTGGGCGGTGGGTGGGGGCCATAAAGATAATGAGGGTAGGGACCTACTGTCCTCCCCCCACCGGCCCCAATCCTTGCGCGGTGGGTGGGGACCATAAATTACAATGGGGGGACCTACTGTCCTCCCCCCCGGCCCCACCCCTGCATGGTGGGGGCCATAAATTACAATGGGGGGGACCTACTGTCTACCGTCCCGGCCCCCACCCTTGAGCGGTGGGTGGGGGCCATAAATTACAATGGGGGGACCTACTGTCCAACACCCCCTGCCCCCACCCTTGAGCGGTGGGTGGGGGCCATAAATTACAATGGGGGGGACCTACTGTCCTCCCCCACCCCTGCGCGGTGAGTGGGGGCCATAAATTACAATGGGGAGGGGACCTACTGTCCTGCCCCCCGGCCCTCCACCCTTGAGCGGTGGGTGGGGGTCATAAAGATAATGAGGGGGGGCCTACTTTCCTACCCTCCCCGGCACCCACCCCTGGGCGGCGGGTGGGGCTCTAAGACAAATCCCCCCCAATCAAAGGTGACTAGGGGTCCCCAAGCCCCTAGTCACCCACCCCTCCACCCCCAAAAAAAGTTACCCCCTACCTACCCCCCTCACCTTAAAACATTGTGAGGGAGGAATAAAATAACTAACCTGAAAAGAAAAATTAAACTTACCATTTGACGTCTTCTTTTTTCCAAAATCTTAATTTTTCAGCCCCCAAAAAAGCCAAATAAAAAACCATCATACCCGTTGAACTTAAAATAAAATAAATCACCCATGGAGGGCTCCTCGCAGACCGCAATTAGGCTAAGAACACTCTGACTGGTTGGTTTAAGAGTGCTTTGTGTCATTTTACACAGCGTGGGAATGTACTTTGTCCCACGATTTGTGAAATGACACAGATTGGGTGGCTTAAAATCCATCCAATCAGAGTGCTTTGTGTCATTTTACACAGCATGGGAAAGTTCTTTGGAATTTTCCCACGCTGTGTAAAATGACAAAGAGCACTCTGGTTAGATTCCAAGCCTATCAATCAGAGTGTTATGAGTCAAATTACACAGCGTGGGAAAATTCCAAAGAACTTTCCCACGCTATGTAAAATGACACAAAGCACTCTAATTGGATGGATTTCAAGCCACCCAATCAGAGTGCTCTGTGTAATTTTACACAGTGTGGGAAAATTCCAAAGAACTTTCCCTAGCTGTGTAAAATGACACAAAGCACTCTGATTGGCTTAAACCAACCAATCAGAGTGTTCTTAGCCTAATTGCAGGGTGGGGCAAGGCTTTATAAGCCTTCCCCGCCCTGCAGAGCTCAGTCTGCACGGAGCCCTCCATGGGTGAAGATGGATTTTTTTTTGCGCTCTGTTTTTTTCGGCTTTTTTTTTGCGCTCAGGTTTTTTATTTTATTTTAAGTTCGACGGATATGATGGTTTTTTATTTGGCCTTTTTTGGGGCTGAAAAATTTAGATTTTAGAAAAAAGAAGACATCAAATGGTAAGTTTAATTTTTCTTTTCACGTTAGTTATTTTATTCCCCCCTCAATATTTTTAGGGTGAGGGGGGTAGGTAGGGGGTAACTTTTTTTTGGGGTGGGGGTGGGTGACTAGGGGCTTGGGAACCCCTAGTCACCTTTGATGGGGGGGGGGATTTGTCTTAGGGCCCCAACCCGCCGCCCAGGGGTGGGGGCCGGGGGGGGGGTAGAACAGTAGGTCCCCACCTCATTATCTTTATGACCCCCACCCACCGCTCAAGGGTGGGGGGCTGAGAGGGAGTACAGAAGGTCCCCTCCCCCATTGTAAGTTATTGCCCCCACTCACCACGCAGGGGTAGGGGAGGACAGTAGGTCCCCCCATTGTAATTTATGGCCCTCACCCACTGTGAAGGGGTGGGGGGCGGTGGGAGGAGGACAGTAGGTCCCCCCTCATTATCTTTATGACCCACACCCACCGCTAAAGGGTGGGGCCGGGGGGCAGGACTGTAGGTCACCCCCTCCTTATCTTTATGACCCCCACCCACCACTCAAGGGTGGGGGCCGGGGGGAAGGACAGTAGGTCCCCCCATTGTAATTTATGGCCCCCATCCACCTCGCAGGGGTGGGGGCCAAGTGGGAGGACCCACAGGCTGCTCACTGTTTAGTGGACATGCCCCTACTCATGGTATAGCGAGTAGGGACATTCAGGAGATTTTAATCTCCCTTATGCTATTATGGGGGTCATATTGACTCCCATAGAGTGAGAGGGACATGGGGGGCTTAGGAAGTGGCAGGAGCACTGCTCCCTGCCCCTTCTATCTTTACATATTACAAGGAGGGAGCTGCGCGCGGGTAGCTCCCTCCTTGTAACAAGCTAAAGGAACGAACACTGATACACAGTGTTTGTTTGTTCGTCTGACAATGCTATTCATTCGTCTTTCTGACGAATGAATGAATAGATGAAATTCCCGTTTGCATGCCCAAGTGTTTCACTGGGCATGTGCAGGAATCTCAGTGCTATTTAGTGTGGGCAGATGACGTGTCCCACAGGGACTTTATCTACCCACACAAAGATGGCGGCGCCCTGAATATATATTGGGGCAGAAAATAAAGAATAAAAAATAGGTAATATTGGAGGCTTAGGGGCATTTGGGGGTGACTAGGGGGTCAATTAGATGTAGTGGAGTCGGGAGGGGGGTTAAAAACAAAACGGGATACGTCCATGACAGTGCCGCTTTAATTCCAACCCCTCTCGCTTCCATACGAAAGTGGGTACGGTGTGGCGAGAATTATATCTAAAGTTTAATATCTTATCTTAATTTTTAATTATTAATGCGGATTAAGGTGGGGAAACTAAAGAGGATTCCTACTTGACCTACATTCCTAAGTGGGGGGAAAAACATAGTGTAGCTATCCTCTCCTCAAATAATATAAAATTAGAGATGATATATAAACAGAGTGATGAGATGGGCAGATTCTCCTTTGTGGTTTGCAAGATTCTGTACTAAATATAAATGCTCCAAATACGAAATCAGTGCATTTTTTAAATAAAATTCTACAAAAAGTTAATGCACTTGTCCAAGGAACCTTCACATGTTGCGGTGATTTTAATTGTACTGCAGACTGTAATATGGATAAACATAATCTAAGCAACATTGGGAGAAGTAATAGACAGGTCAGCCTTGCAAAAGCCTTTCGGGACACACTGGGGCAATATGAATTATATGATATATGGAGAACTATTAGACCAATGGATAAGGAATTAAAAAATAACTTTTCACATAGACACCAATCGTTCTCAAGAATTAATATGATATTAACAAAAGCAGTATCAGTTTTAGACTGTAAAAAAATTGAAATAAAAAATGTGGTATGGTCAGATCATGAAATTAAAGGTAAATATAACAGAGCAGAACGGCATATGAATGAATGCTTTTTTAAAATCTAAGGATGATATTGACGAAATCATAACAATTACAAAACAATTCTTTGAGGAAAATTTAACAGGGGATGTAAGTCTGGTCAACGTATGGGCTGTGTATAAATGTGTATTAAGAGGTTACTTAACTAAGAAAGAAGCTTTTCTTATGAAAAAATTGTCAGATCTCTATATATCTCTAAGTCATTTTAAAAAAAGTAATACATTACAGAAGCACAATATATGATATAAATTAATTAAATTAAGAAAGAAGTTGAAGAACAATTAATTATAAAAGCTAATAATAACATAATGAAAATGAAACAAACATTTTATTATTTAGGTAATAGAGCAGATAAGATGCTGACCAATCAACTAAAAAAATGCAATCTGAAGAACAGAATATTTAAAATAACTGTGGAGGATAAACATTAAAGCAGCCCAGAGGAAAATGGGAAAGTGTTCACATTTTTTTATTTTAAATTGTATAATATTGAGAATCAATTAAAAATCAGGGAACAAATAAAAAAAAGAATCTAAATTTAAAAAATTGTCTAGAGAACAGACTAGCTGTTTAGAAGCTCCTATAGATAATTCAGAAGTTATTAAGGCAATTGGAGCATTGAAACTGCCCAAGGCACCAGGCCCTGATGGTTTCCTTGCAGAGTTCTATAAAAAAAATATTTGACACTCTGTCCCCATGAGAGAAAAGGCCTTTGACAGGGTTCGTGGGACCTTTCTGGAAGAAGTTCTCTGAAATTTTGGATTTGGAAAGATCTTTACTGGCTCTGTCAGGGCCTTATATACCAAACCAACTGCGAGAGTTATTGGACAGGGTTTGAGATCAGAATGGTTTAATATGTATAATGGAACCCGACACGGATGTCCCCTTGCTCCAATGCTTTACATTTTAACATTAGAACCTTTTGCGACAAGGATAAGGAATAATATACATATGAAAGGTATTAAGATAGGGGACTTGCAAAGTAAATGCAGTATGTATGCTGATAATATTGTTTTGTCTCTATATGATCCTGAGAAATCTCTGACTTCATTGATATATGAGATCCAAGAATATGGCCATGTTTCCAATTATAAAGTAAATTTGAATAAATCCCAAGTACTGGATTTTTCAATATCAGATATGGATAGAAAGAGAATGAGGGCAAATTTTGTTTTAAATTTGGGAATTAATGAGATTACATATCTGGGGATTAAGATCCCAAAGAAAATGCAAACGATATTTGAAGTTAATTACTCAGCCCTTTTGGATGAAATGAATAGACAACTGTGTGAGTGGAAAGGTCTGTTCATATCATGTATGGGAAGGATAAACGTGATTAGAGCCTATATAATTCCAAAATGGTTGAGAATATATTGAGAATGATTCCATTAGAGTTGCTGGATTAAAACATTTCAGGCAAAGGTTAATAGATGTGTATGGGATGATAAGAAACCCAGAGTGTCAAAAAAAATTCTTTGCTCTAGTCGTAGAAAGTGGGGACTAAATATGTCAAGTTTAGAACGGTATGCAGAGGTGAGTATGCTGTGTCATTTATCTAATCTTCAATGTAGACAAAGTAAAGATACAAATTGGTATTATATAGAACAGTGATGGCGAACCTATGGCACGCGTGCCACAGGTGGCACGCCGGGCCCTCTCTGTGGGCACGCGGCCATAGGTTTGCCATCACTGCAGAGTAGGCGCCTGCCTGCCCGAAACGGCAGGCGCCTACTCTGCTTCCGTGTCGGCAGGACCGGAAGCAGGGAGGAGGGATCGAGGAAACAGCTCTCCTGTCCTCCCGCGAGCTGTGTGGATCGTTGCCGCGCGTTACCATGGCAACGCTCCACACAGCATCGCGCGGGAGGACGGGAGAGCTGCAGGACTTGTCATCCTGTCCTGCATACCACCACCAGACCACCAGGGATGGCTGTGTCCCCCCCTCCCCTTCACCAAAGGTTAGAAGAAGGGAAGGGGGGGTACTGATTTAATACCTATCCCCCTTACCCACAGCACCCCTACTCCCCCTACCCACAGCACCCCTACCCACAGAACCCTTACCCCCAGCACCCCCACTACCCACAGCACCCCTACCCCTCTTACCCACATCACCCCTACCCACAGAACCCTTACCCCCAGCACCCCCACTACCCACAGCACCCCTACCCCTCTTACCCACATCACCCCTA